TTAATCGCCAACTGGATAACATCAATCAAACTCCAGTATGGTTGTAATTGTACGACATCTGCAATCTCTACATTAAAACCTCCCAGATAACAAGTGACAGTTTGTTGTTCCAATTCATGGATATCACACTTTAGAAGAAGTTGCTCAAACTCAATCGTATACTCTTCTACCGACATGGTTCTTTGTCTTAAATTATGAAATTGAAGAAAAGTGCCTTGCCATTTATATTTGAGTTCTTGATGCATCTTCTCCCATGATCTGATCTTCTGACGGCCTTCTCTTTTTCGTTGCTGTTTCAGATTCTCCCACCATATAGATGCATATTTCTTCAATTTTATTACAACAGTTTCACACACTTCTCATCAGGAACAATTTGAAGCTCAAAAATTATTTCTATCGTGTGTAACCAGTCAATAAAATCATCTGGTTGAAGTCTTCTCTCAAACTCAAGAATGTCTACTCTGAAGCTTGAAATCCCAAATTCACTATCTCGACCCCTCGGATGGAACCTAGGATATTCATCTCGAGATAAAGAGTCTTCCCCAAATGGATTGGTGCCCTCACCTGCGCTGTTGGAGCTATTGCCGATTTCATCATCTTGATCTCGTGTGATTCCCCATCTTGTGAGTTGTTCTTGTAATTCTCTGATTTGGTTTCGTAATTCCTCAATTTCAACATCTCGAATAGTTCTCTGATGATTTTGAGGTTTTGGTGACATTTTTGTGGTAGGGGTGATAAGGTATAAAAATCAAATAATTCATAGGAACTTGATATAGTAGTAAGTGCTACCATGGTTCAATATGCACCAGGAAAATTCCTAGGAAAGTGGAGGGGTCACAAATGGTCCCACTTAAAACCCACTTTCCTTAGACTCTTATTGTCTTATTGACCGAATTTTCTTAGACATGCATATGAATTAAGTCTCAATTCAATGATGGGTCATTTCAATTGCTAGTATCATAATTTATTTATTTATTTTTTTGGTAATTGGGTTGTTCGGACCAATTTGCGTGTACTTTAACTAATCTTCGAAGTCTATTGAACACCTTACAAACATAAAAAATTAGGTAAGTCACAATGTAATTGTGGTAGGTGATCCCAAGGTTTGAATGCACGAACTCGAGGAAAGAACAAACCTCTTTGACCATCGGGTCAATCCCTTGGGATTAAAAAAAAAAAAAAAACACCGATATATATACACACACCTTATGTGGGCGATGGTTAAAGAGGTTGACAACATCCATGAAGGATCAACTATTTGTTTTTTAATTAATATTGAGTATAATATGTATGTCTGGTTTCTAACGAAAAGAATATAAATTTTAAAAAGAAAAACATTTTATTATCTCTTTGCATGCTGGATCTATATACACAGTGGCGGACCCAGGATTTTTACCCAGGGGGGGCCTCCGTGGCTCACCATTGTTTGTCAAACAACTAGTGAAATTTTTAAAAAAATCAACAAACCTTAAGCAAAGGAAATAATATAATATCAATAATCTGAAAGAAAATAATGCAACAACACAATACTTTACCATTTGAATAAATTTATGAGAAGCAAAACCTTGAGCAAATTATATTGAAAATAACATTTAATTCACGAGGAAAAACAATAAAATTTTTATGAAGAAAAACCTCTTTAATTAAAGAGAGCAAAACACCATGGGAATCTAACGATTCACTTCAATCTAATATAATTAAAAGATTTTACAACAATCACAATCCACCAAAAATGTTCTATACAAATTTCTTATTTCTCCTCTTTTTATTTTTTTTATTTTTTTTTCTTTCAAAGATTATAATATAAATTTTCATGACTTTGATCAGGTCTAACCTAAGCTAAAGTCAACCAAAACTTCAATTAAGTCAACATTGTCTTGATTTTTAATATGAATTAATAAAAAAAGAGAAAATTTTCTTAGTATAAACATAGATAATAACTCAAACTTCTTTAATAATTTTGAGCAGCTAAACGGTGTCGTTTGACATGTTAGAAAGTGGTAGATGAAGGGCAAAAAATAACGTTAAGTAAAAATAATTAAGGTTTAATTTGGGAAAAGATGAACGTTCTTAAACACAAAATACAAAACAAACTCACAAGATCCATGCATTTTTCCATCAAATTAGAATAAAAAATCTCCAAAAAATAAACATGATTCAACCCTAAAATAAACTAAAATGAAATGAGCAATACACATATCTAAAATTGAGAAAACGGAAAACGAAGCTAATTATAGCACCTTGATGAGTGAAAGTTTCAACAATTTCAATTTTCAAAAGTTTTAGAACGAATAACATTGAGAAAGTGAAAGAGAGAATGAGAAAATAAAGAATTTTAGGGATAAAATCATAAAAAACAAATGGACGTAGAAAAGAGTGAAGAGAATTTTAAATTTTTAATATGATGTAAGCGTGGAATATATATTAATAACAAATTGTTAATGAGTTTGGATATATGTATAATATTTCTCAATTTTTTTTTTTTTTTAATTTGAAGATAAACCTATATATATATATATATATATTGAATTTTTTTATGGGGTCTATATAAATATTTTTTTTTCAAAATGTGAGGGCAGGCTGTGCCTACTCTCCAAGGGGCTGGGTCCGCTCCTGTATATACACACACCTTATTTTCCTTTCATTTAAATGTAAATATCAAGGTTTGGTTGCCAAGCATTATTGGGTGGACATGTAAAAGAGTAAAGAAAGATGTAACATGGTCTCTCAAATTCGAGTCATTTTGATGGTAAAAGAGCAAGAAGAGTTAATAGGGATAGTCATTGGAGCTCTTATTTGATCGATAGTTTTAGAGTCTAAAAAATTAGTTGAGATACGCGAAAACTGATCCAAATACCCTGGTTAATTAAAAAAAAAAAAAAAAAAGTTCGTGAAAGATGTACCCATTGAAAATTTCAGACATCTTGGCTCCGTTTGGTTCACTTTTTTACACTTTTTAGAAAAGTTTTTAGAAAAAAGTTAAAAAAAGTTGAATTGGGCGGGTATTACGATGTAGGATTTGAAAATAAATAAAAATACCCCCTATATTTGTTTATTTACTAAACACCCCCCTATGTTTGTTTATTTACTAAACACCCTTATAATAAAACATTAAAAGTTAACAAAAACACCCCCAACCCACCCATTAAATATGGACAGCTGGCCACTACCACCGGAGGGTGGCCGGAGTCATCGTATCGGCGCATGACCTGCTGGATGTTGCCGGTCGTACACCGATATGGCCTTTTTCGGCCAGATCCACGGTGGATCTGGCCGGCCGTATTTGCTCGTCAACGACGACCAAAGATACAGCCGTCGTTGATGGTCAACGACGACCATGTGTTGGCCGTCGTTGATGACTGACTACAGCCAAAGATCTGACCGTCAACGACCAGATCTTTGGCCTTCGATCTGGCCTTTTCTGGCCAGATCTATCGTGGATCTGGCCGGAAAAGGCTAGATCGGTGTACTACCAGCCAGATTCAGCTGGTAGTGTGCCATTATACCAAATTCTGACCATTTTTCGATGGTGGTGGTTGAAATCTGGTAAATATAGGTTACTGGGGTGTTTTTGCAATTTCTAAAAAAATATTTAGGGGTATTTAATTAAATTAACAAATTTAAGGGGTTTAAAAAAGTTGAATAATATTGAATAATATTGTGAGTTTTTACAATTTTACTATTTAACTTTATTGGGAATACTAATAGTAGTATTTTCAAATGTGAGCCAAACGAAGCCCTTGTTTCTAAATGCATACAAGTCAAAGGATGACTCACTTGACTTCATGATATTGAAATTACCATCGAATTTTGCTTCTCGGTCGTGAGCCCAAACCCATTTTCTGACCGAGTAAAGGCAGCCCAACTTATAAAATATGTTCCATTAATTTCCTCCACCTATAATATATTAAAAATGGAGTGGATAATAAAAGGAATATCTTTCAAAGCCAGCTACAATAGTTCGTAAATGAATATTGATGAATTTGGTTACGTAATTGTGTCGTGCATCTGCTTGGATTATGCCTTCATTTATTTATATGGAGGTCTAAGCTTGTAATTTGCTTGTACTTATGAAAGAGTTAGACAACATTTTCCTGGTTAATTCCAGTAAATTTGAATCTCCCTAATATATCAGTTAACAAAAATATCTAGAATCTTAAATTGCTTGGTGATCTACGTAGATTGCATGGAATAATTAATAATTTAATTCGTAGACCATTCTCACTGTATTTTTCAAGTTCAAAGTCAAAACTCATAAGGAGTGTCATACAAGCAGTATTAATCAAAAGGAAATTTCTTTTATTTCCATTCAAACATGTGTGTTGTGAACTTAAAATAGGCTTTGATGACAATATTATGCATGTAATTTAACTACATGGAATTGAGATTTCCTGCATGAAGGAAAATTACACGCGGTTTCAAAGCTATGTTCTCAGAATTTCGATCCTTAACATACGTTTGATGGATGAACTAATCAAATTAACAACTTTATCAAAGTAAACCCACCGTCAGATTGAAGGCTGGAACGAGTTGCCTTTATATATATCTCGATTTTGTTCTACCCAGTCATAATTGTGTCGTAAACCATTTTTTGAAATTTCAGCAGTCTTGTTTCTTGCTAATTGCCACCACGTGTTTCTTCTCCTTTTGACGGTATATGCTTCCGAGTTAGTTTTGAGTTATATCTTTTCTTCAATTATAATTTCCGATCTTACAGAAGATTTTTGTAAAGATTGTTTCTAAAATCCTGGATCGAAAAACACACACGTATATTTATTGTTACTGTTTTTTGTTAAAACATCGTGCTTTTGTACTTCCGTTTTTGTTTTACGGCAAGATAGAGGAGCCCTTTTCTTTAGTTTGTCATTATCGTCTACTTAAATGATTATGGTAGTGAAATCTGATTAATACTTGACAACAGTTCTTTGGTTGCAATTCCTTTATGCTACTTTGGCGTCAGTTTGAAATCTATAACTTTTGTTCTATGCTTATACGCAGAAATGGTTACCGCTACAGCTCAATTTCTGTACTCCCCAGACCACTGCAAAATTCTTCATCTGGTTTGTATACTACTCCCACCTTGTTTGTTTTAACCACTTGTTCTAAGTTGTTATTAAATGTTTCGCTGGAGTGAAGCTTGGATGGTTGCACAGTTATATATCTTTATATTATTTACATTGCTAAAGACATTTTGTCAAACAATGTATAAATACAGGTGAGGCATGGACAAGGGATGCACAATGTAGCAGCAGAGAAGAGTGTTGAGGCATTATTGTCTCCTAAATTATTTGATGCTCCTATCTCTACTCATGGTTGGCAGCAGGTAATGGAAAAATTAATCGCCAAATTATATCTTTGATCTTGTTTTAATTCATTTTAATTACTTGGATGTGTTTAAAACAGGTGGCTAATCTGCGCAAGCATGTCTTCGCAAGCGGAATGTTAAAGAGGATTGAATTGGTTATCACTTCTCCTCAGTCAAGGTATAATCCCTTCTCTAATTGATGATTATGAATGTTTGCATGGATTAAATCAGCAATTGCATGTGTGTTTCAGGGCCATGCAAACAGCAGTTGGAGTTTTTAGTTGTGAAAGCCACATGTATGAATATGGGTTAGATACATGTACACCTCCAGTAATGGTGGCAAATGATCATCGCAATGCAACGCCAGCTCTCAATTGCCCACCAATTTTAGCATTTGAGAAGTGTCGAGACCGTATGGTGCGTTTGCTAACATTATTTTATAAGAGGAGTTTGTTTATATATTTTCGCTTTTCTGATTTAATTTTTTATTTTAGATAGATTCATAATGATTAAGATTTAGATACAGTTTTTCTTCTGATGCATTTCCTAATTTACTTCAGGGAGTTCGTCTATCTGATAAGAGGAGAAGTGTTAGCGAATATCAGTCTCTTTTCCCCACTATCGATTTTTCATTAGTAAGTAATTAATATTTTTTCTTTAGAGGAGACCTAGAAAAGTTTATATAGATCAATAAAATTGTGACTATAGAATTAGTGTCTCAATTTTATATCTCATGCAACAACATATTTTTCAATATTATATTAATAATAAGTACGAAAAATTACACTGAATCAATATATAGATATATACTTATCCTTTGTATTGATTATTGTGCAGATGGAATGTGAAGAAGATGATTTGTGGAACCCTGATGTTAGAGAGTCTTTGGAAGAAATTTCAGCTAGGATGGTGGAGTTTATGCAATGGTGAATACTGCATTTTCTTTCAATATTATATAAAAAATACAGTGAAATTCTGACCACAAACACAGACCTCTAAATATCCATCCTTGTAAAGTAATTTCAAATGTTTGCCTTTAAGTACTTGATGTTGAAATTCCTACAATATGTAGGTTGTGGACACGACCAGAAAAAGAGATCGTAATTGTGAGCCATGGTGTAGTCTTGCAGCACTTACTTTATGTTTTGGAAATTGACACTCATCCATCAGTCAAAATACAATTAACCGAACGGTGAGTATTGTCTTACTCGTACTTAAGATCTGCAGCTACGTACACTGAGTCACTCTCTTGTTTTCCTTTCAACATTATTTCAACATCGAATAGTCATACATGTGTCTCATTTTCTATTTGACATGCCTGGCTACTTTTAAAATTCTGACGGACGGCTGTAGCCTGTAGCTTCATTTCAATGATATTTTTTGACTAATCAAAAGGTGTTTTGTGTGTGATCTGCGTTTTTAGCTTTGGCAATTGTGAACTTCGTTCGGTGGTCGTCGTCAACAAAAGGTGACAACATTCAATTCTGCAGACCAATCACAAATACTTGTTCTCCATTAATCTTAATCCAAATGCTTAATTAACTTTGATTTATTTTATTTACAATTGCAGCATGATGGACTCAGATTCCTCTACAACTTCCTTCTGCGGATAAATTCGATTCCCTTGGCGCCCTTAGTGCTTGCTTTGAATATTTACTGCTTTCATTTATCAAAGAATCTGTAACCATGCTTATTCTCATTGTTTCATTAATTTATTTATTCATTAAAATAAGGATTCTGTATCAATGAATACTTAACAAATAACATGCTGTATTCATCATATGTATTAATGTGATTTAGAATTTAATAAAGGACTCCGCTCTTTAATTTCTTAGTTTTTTTCGCACACCATATGAATAAGTCAGTATTTTATCTCTACCAAGGGAAATTCTAATCCAATCCATTCAATATTTGGCTATGAATTCCATAAGGAATTACATGATTGTTTCCTGTGAATAATCGCAGAGCATATGAATTTATTGAAAATTCTGAGAAAAACACATTAAAATAAAACCTGCCCAACTGTTATTTTTCTAAGTCAATGCTCAATAGGTCAAGAAACAAATGCAGGAACAAAGAAATTACTCTGTTAGCTCAAGACTTCCATAAGGAATGTACTTATGAAAGAGTCAATGCTCATTTGCTTGTACTTATGAAAGAGTTAGACAACATTTTCTTGGTTAATTCCACTAAATTTGAATCTCACTGATATATCAATTAACAAAAATATCTAGAATATTAAATTGGTTGGTGATCCACGTAGATTGCATGGAATTAATAATAATTTAATTCGTAGACCATTCACACTGTATTTTTCAAGTTCAAAGTCAAAACTCACAAGGAGTGTCATACAAGTGCTGTAGTATTAATAAAAAGGAAATTTTCTTTTATTTCCATTCAAACATCTGTGTTGTGAACATAAACTAGGGCTTTGATTACAATATTATGCATGTAATTTAACTACGTGGAATTCAGATTTCCTGCATGAAGGAAAATTACACGCGGTTTCAAAGCTAAGTTCTCAGAATTTCGATCCTTAACATACGTTTGATGCATAAACTAATCAAATTCACAACTTTAACTTTAATTAGTAAGAGTGAGAATCAAAGTAAACCCATCGTCACATTGGAGGCTGGAACGAGTTGCCTTTATATATATCTCGATTTGTTCCACCCTGTCATAATTGTGTCGTAAACCATTTTTTGAAATTTCAGTGAGGTACTATGATAACAATAATATGCAAAGACATAAAAATAAAGTTGACAAGATGATTTTTATAGTAGGTCAGATGTTTAAAACGAATCATACATCTATTGTGTTCATTTATATAAAGGTTACTTTCGGATCGCTAGACAAGCTTATAAGAGGTCGCGAGCTACGATCTATGATTACAAGTGTTCGTGTTTGTGCTTTAAGAGAATGTTAAGCCAGTCTCTTTTTTGTATGTGTCTTTATTATTTGCTTTGTTGAATTTGTGAATGTCTCACCTCTATTTTATGAGAGAGAGTTGCCTATTTATAACTGTTTAGGTAATGATTATATTTTGCAAGTGGCTTGATGCCGTGAAGATCCTTCCTACCTTCCCATTAGTTGAAAACTCCAAGTATATCCTTAAATTAAATGGGGCTTGGACAAGTGTGCAAACCAAATTCACTCAGGCACAAATTCTTGAGTCGGTTTGGGTCCAGTGGTGGATCCAGGAATTTCACTTGATGGGGCCAAAAAATAAAAATACTAAAACCAATCATAACCATACTTTTTTTTCATTAGGATAAGCTTCAACAAAAAGTTATAAAATACAAATAAATATCTTCAAAAAACACAATTTTCGTAAAAATAAAACAATTTTTTTACAATTGTCCTCAACGAGTTTTCATATTCAGAAAATGTTGGACAATAATCTCATCGTCAATTTTATCAAATACATCTTTCTCAATATAGGTGAACATACAATCATTCATCCATTGATCTCCTATTTGATTGCGTAACCGACTTTTCACAAGATTCATTGCAGAACAAGCCCTTTCAACGGTCGCAATTGCAACTGGTAAAACCAATGCAAGTTTCACAAGCTTATACACCAACAGATATGAAATGTCTTTTTTAAACTGAACTAAATTCTTAGCCAAATCACAAATTCCTTGTAACTTAGCAAATTCATCACAAGAACGCATATCAATAACATAAGTCTCAACCTGATTCTCAAGTACCATCAACTCAAGTACAGAAAAATCAGATGGATAAAACTAGGCAAAGCGGATCAACTTATGCTTTGTCAAAAGCAGAGAATGAATTATTTGGATCTAAACATGCCATATAAAGAAGCAGCTCAGTACTAACCTCAATGAAACTAGTATTAAGTTCTTGAAGTTGCATATCTATCACAGTATAAAACAATAATTCAACTCGACAATGATGCAAATTTGTCATGTTCTCAACTCTCCATCATGGCCGTCCTCGAATCACAAACATATCATCCATATTTAAAATGGCAATATCATGCTTTTGGCAAAATGAAGAAACTTCACTCTGTTAGAGTAGGTGCCTTAAGGCCAATCAATTATTGTAGAATTGACTCTTTGTAATGATGTTCATTAATCAATAAAATGCATTTTATTCTATATCGTGTAAATCATTTTGATATGTATTGATATACGTCATTAGGATGGTTGAACCGTGACGAGGGTATCAAGTGTTTCAAATCTTGATAGTGAGAACCCTGTGATCATATATGGTGGCCAGTCTAGAAATGTCAGTAGCCCTAGTATTATTTTGATCAAGGACACAAATAGTGCGGTAAGACTATCATAGCGTTGAACGACCCTGTCGAAAGACAGTAACTGATCTCCCTTGTCAAACACATGGGTGCTTACTGTAGGCAAGTTCACTGGACTGACCCACCAGAGGATTCCATATAGATGGTAACCCCAATGTCTATGAAATAAATCATCTAAAGAATGGTGGTGCATGTGATTCTTAGACTTGAGATCACTAGAGCGCCTTATGCACCGATTGGTGTAGTTTGACACTAGCTTAACGTAGTTCTATTTAGAGTTATCAATACGATAGTGATTGGCTGCATCGAGGAGTGTATTAAGACTATGGTGGATCAATAGATGATTCATCACTCCTGGGTACGGGAGTACTTATCTCACTACGCAATTCAGTAAATGACAATAACACTAAAGCTGTGGCCACAGTGGGACTGAGTTGTTGCCCAATCCAATTTATTATTCTGGTCATTGGTTCAATAACTGAATACAAACACATCGAGAGTAATTGAGGTTGACACTATTTATGTACCTCAGTCTCGATGAGATAACAGATGATGAAATGATTTGATTGCATGGTAACCATATCGTTGATAGGTAACTGTTTCGCTGAATCTGAATCTATCAGGTGGCCATGATGCATTGCTAGAGGTCAATCTTGGTTTGTGTGTAGTGAGACGATTGATTGGTGTTAATCACAATACTACTCATTGCCGGTATGATTGAGAGCCTACGAGTCACATACTTAGGAGACAGTTTAAGTATGGTAAATCTTGGAAGGGTATATTTGTCTTTTGGATGTATGGGCATATTGGTAATTTTGTTGTGTAATTAAATTTACTGAGGTTGTAGCCTATGTCCAATTTTATTACTGGAGTAATTTAGCAAAATTAAGAATTTAATTATTAGAGTTAATATTAATCTTTATATTAATATTTAACTAAATAATGAAATAAGGGTTAATATGCAATTCTACCTAATGTTTGGTTGATGCTAAACTTGAGGGGTGGAACGGATATTTTTGGCTGCCTCTAGGGGTGAGCACGGGTAGCGGGTAGAACCGAAACCGGGGGTAAGAACCGGAACCGGAACCTAAACCTACCCAGAACCTGCACTGTGCGGGTAGGTTCCGGTTCCAATTTTTTAGAACCGCTACTGTGCGGTTCCGGTTCCGGTTCTTGCATGTGGAGGAACCGGAACCGGAATCGGAACCTGTAAAAAGGGTACCCTGTTTGGAACCTGTAGGGGGTACCCGGTTTGGAACCTGTTTTGGAACCTGTTTGGAATCTATTTGGAACCTGTTTTGAAACCTGTTTTGGAACCTGTTTNAAAGGATCAAATTTTGCAGAATTCTATGACTGTGGTTTGGTCCTTCTTCTTTATATTATTCTGTGTTGTAGGGCCATACCAATTGATTCCGGTGAACTGAACCTTCACCTGAAGTACACTTATTTAATCGGCTGTGTTCCATTATGCCTACTTTTACACTTGCGTCCTAATCTCAACTTGTGCTGAAATAAGTGACCAATAAAAGGAACAAAAAATTTGCCTTCATCTAAAACCTTTGTGACGCAAGTTTGGTCGCACATACGCTACATAGAATATGCTAATATTATAAGTCTCTTTATTCCATCCCATGCACTGTTTCTGAGTTGTGCCATTAGCAGATATGGATGCCGCAACATCCCATTCAGCCCACGGGTGTAAAATTCTTCATCTGGTTTGTACCATTTTCATCCCCTTTAATCTATCAGATATAAACATTATTATATGAGTCTAATCCCATTCAAAAATATTGAAAAGTTAAAATTACTTACAGGTGAGGCATGCACAAGGTGTCCACAACACAGAAATAGGGAAGGGTCCTGAAGCATTGTTATCTCAAGAGCTTTTTGATGCACAACTCTCTGATCTTGGTTTCAAGCAGGTGAAAGTCAAATAATCGTCCTCTATTATAATCTCAAAATTAATAATAATAAACTATTATATAACTTCTGCTAATACATATATAAAATGTCTTAGATAAGGATTTTGCATTTTTTAAATTAAAACGTTTAAAATACAAACTTAAAAATCTAGAGAGAGAATTTACTATTAAAGAAAAAATAATAATAATAATTTAAGCTCTCCTTTTAACGAACTCCAACTCCTGTAGTTAGGATATATAGTGAGTAAAAGAAGTTTTATTATATATTGCTGGACAACTTTTCAGGAGTAGTAAATGACTGATTTTGTATCAGGTGGAAAAATTGCGGAAGGAGGTTGAAGACAAAGGGTTAACTAAGAAAATTGATTTAGTCATCGCTTCTCCCATGTTAAGGTAGCGATGATATTTTGATTCTCTCTATTTTATGGTTTAAAATCAGAGAAAGAGCAGTGTAGTTTTGTCAAGGGGATGAGTGGGTGGTTGAGGCTGTTCACCTAACTTGGCAGTCGTATTCAGAAGAGGGTGTTCTGTTGTTGAATTTGAAGGCCATGTAATGAATTGCAAGTTTCATTTTGTCGAAGTGTAGGTAGCTTAACGTTGTCAATGGTTTAATGACAGAACTTTGCAAACAGCTGTTGGAGTTTTTGGTGGTAAAAGCCAAGCAAATCGGTTTGATGTGCATACTTCAACTGCAGGGAATTGTGCCAAGTTCGATGGTCCTCCAATTATAGCTGTTGAGCAGTGTCGAGAACGTTGGGTATGTTTGAATTGTCATTAAATTGTTGTTAACCAAAAGACATGCCTTTACTAATCGTTTGCTAATAAGTAATGTCAATTAGGTCAGCCATCAATCTATTATGACAGATACCCCCCAACGATACAGTAGTTTTTAGGTAAATCAACTTGCCTGACCTCTCAACCACTGGAAAGAGAATTTATTATTGCAATTAATAATTTCAGTGAACTGTTTCAAAAAAAACAAAAACTTGCATATTCTCAGTGAACTGTTTCAATAAAAGCATGTCATATATGATTTTCATAAATTCTATTAAAATTGTTCTTATATGACAAGTGTTTATTACATAGACACTGGACACATATGATGCAATATCTCTTACGTCATTTAAGACTTTCTGTACTTGTCGGTTGTAAGACCAAAACTAAAATACATCCATTGATATATATAGACGATGTTATTCTCAAGCATATCCGTCATTGCAGGGGCTTGAACCTTGTAATAGGAGAAGAAGTATCAGCGAGTATCAGAATCTTTTCCCGGCAATTGATTTTCAATTGGCAAGTATTAACTGTCTTTATCTTAGAATTCCAACTAGTACGTGAGGTTCAAAACAAACAAAAAAAAATTTTTTTTTTCCCTCTCATTTTCAGATAGAAAGTGAAGATGACATTTTGTGGAAAGCTGAAGTTAGAGAATCCTATGAAGAAGTTGCGGCAAGGGGAATGAAGTTCTTGAAATGGTGACTAACTTGATGTTTCTCATGACCATAAAACGATGGTTATATATATAAGCGAATGGGATTCGTTATGAGCGTTAACTGATTAAGAGTGGTTTCGTTTTATTAGGTTGTGGACTAGGCAGGAGAAAGAAATTGCTATAGTTAGCCATGGCATATTCTTGCAGCAAACGCTGAAAAAACTTGTAAAAGAAAAGAATCAATCAATGGAAAATCTATGTTCACGGTGAGAATTATGTCGTTTTGAACTTTTACCATCACTGGCCAACCAGCCAACTATTAAACTCAACTAATCTCTCCTTTTAATTGTTGGTTATCCATGTGCTTAGGTTTGGCAATTGTGAAATTCGGACAGTGGCCATCAACATTGCCGACGCAAGGTGAGCATCAATAAGACTTGTTCTTATTCAAATAGTCAGAAGTTTTACCTTACTTTTTCTATGGGTACATCATATACTGCAAATATTTTCAGCGTGTTTTATCTTCCCAGTGACGTTACAAAAGAGAACACCCAAAGAAAGGAGGCGTCCAACTAATTGCCCGTGGGCGTTCGTTGTAGCAGAGGAACTTTTCAAGGATTTGAGTGCTTAAAATTTGATTCATATCCAAATTTTATGTAAACCAAAAACCCCCCGGTGATTCCGGTGTCAATTGAACTCTTTGTCAACAATAGTATACTATCATATTCCGTTTCCTCCTATTATGTGGCCACTAATAAAAATGATAGAATTTAACCGTACTTCCTCCCAAGTCCCAACTTCTTAAAAAATAAAAATAAAATCAATGTAACTAATTTTTTGGACGACAAAAACTTGAACCATCTAATTTATGAGCAAGAATTTGCTAAATGAGCTATATTCTCTTGACAGTAAGCAATAAACCTACCAAAATTGAGAGAATAAGGAACAAAATCGCAGCCATGACGTTGTAATTAGCTGTCTTCACAGGTTGTTTGCTTTTTTCCTTTGCGTCAATTCCTTTATTCTCCGAGGAAGAGTTGAATCCTGAGTGATAGTTATCTGCTACATCCCAAAAGGATTTAGAGATTATTACTGTGGGGGCTTCTACTTCAGCTTCCAAGATCGTTGAGGAATCAGAGACAGGTTCCATGGACATCAACTCAACAAAATGATCTTTAAGCACCTAATCAAACAACCAAAAAAAATAAAGAAAACAAATCATATCAACTAATTATGCAGAGGAGAAGTGAAATGCACTAAAACTCAGCTTATTTACGTTCTTTCCTTAGAACTGCATAAGTTTGTCTCCTAAAGTCACAAGCACAAACCTCAAGTGTCTCAGATGATTGCAAGTAGTCACCAATAAATGTGCCAGCCAACCAAGGAACAAAGACTCTCCGAGGAAATGAAAGATTGCATGTTTTCCTGAGTTTAATTAAACAGCAAAAACCGAATCAGTACAAATGATCATATTCTAGCAACACAAACAGAAATTTGTATCAACATCCAACTTGTATTTCAGAAGACGCAAGTTAAAGCCCACAGATTATTCTGATACAAGCAAGCACAAGATGCAGATAACAGTGTTGTCATTAAATAAGTATTATTTGCCAAAGCACCTCAGGGAGTGCAGGACAAGTCTGGAAACAGGTTTCCCATTGCTTGCTTCCTTGCCAATAATGTCAGCTGGAACCTGATCTTCATCAGCCTCATCACAGATGATATCTAATCTGCTTTGCAGACTCCTGGTAATATCACCCTGAAAATAGAACATGACCCATGCCCATAAGAATTAACAAAAACAAAGTTACCAGATTTTATTTTTCTGAATGTGTACAAAAATGTTTTCCTTTTATAAGATGTGGTGGTTCAATCCACAAAATAGATTCCTTCTCATGACTATTTATTTGAATACTAAACTCAAAATGAAGTTTGACACAGTTAATGTTCACAGTAGTCTGGCATCTGGGACCACCACATGCACCAATCAGTATAGGCCATTCCAAATGCATGATATACTAAATCAAGAATTTTTAATTTTTTTTTTTTAATTTTGAAGTAATAATACAGTAAAATTGAAAATTGCTGACCTTTATTTCAGAAATAGCCTCTGAAATTGGTTCTTTTGAATTCAAATAAGCAAAAGAACACAAGGAGCCATTGAAGACAAGAAGACCAACAACATCCTTTTGGCTGCAAGCTTTACAACATAATGATACAATTAAAATGTCAGGCTTAATAGTTTCAAAACAGCTTCAAGCAACAAAAAAAAAAAAAAGAGAAAAAAGAAACATGAATTAAAATTATGCTAACACACCTTTTGCAGATGTATCATTTGAGAATGGTAGAAGCAACTCTACTTCATGCAAACCATCTGTTGTGCATGGCTCATCATTAACAACCTAAAAATGCAGAATAAAGTGGTCATCAAATGTGATTATGAAAAGAATGCACCACAAAACAATGCTCATTGAAATTAATGTGAATTGTTAATTTTTTGGAATATAAACTACAAAGGGCACGGTAAATTTCTCCCTTTCTAGAGCCCAAATTTGAGTTCTCAGTATGAAATTGTAGCTACTGATATTGATATTTTTATAGTAATTGATGATTTATAATTCCACTATGAACTGTAGTGGAGGCCCATCATGAGCAAATAGGGTTGAATAGTCCAAAACTGGAGTGCTTACCAAATTTCCATCTAAAATAGCCTTTGCACTTGTCAGCTCATTTGCATGATTCAAAATTCCCTGGCGAAGAATGTCACTGAGTATTGGTGCATCTGGTGCACCCTCATTATATACTGGCAATCTGGGGAATGTTATTGACATCAAAAACCCAAATAGCATTTTAACTTGTCATTTCAGAAAAAATTATGAGCCAAACCTACAATATTAATAACAAATTACAATGTAATATTTTCTCATACAAAGTCAGATATTTCAGGTCCTAAAGTTATTTTTTTAAAAAAAAAAAAAAAAAAAACTAATTGACTATCTGAGCTCAGAGTACTTGGGGAAATCACCACAGTACAATTGGTGCAAACATTAATGTTTTCTCAAAACTCAAGTAGTGCAGCAAACATGAGCAATGATACATACTTCAGCGGTAATCAGGCTCTTAAGCACCAATAAAGGTGTTTGCGTTTTGAAAAGAAAAATAAACAGAATAAACTTAACAGATGAAATGTGATAATATACAAATAAACTCAGAAAGTGAACATAGCTTCTAGATAAAAAAAGATAAGAGTAGTTTACTTAGATACAAAAGAGAAATAAAACATGCGATAATATTACCCAATACTGAAGTTGTAGGTGCACTTAAAAGTTTGAAGTGAATTTAAGACCTTTCCCATTTTGAAATCACAAGGTCTTAAGCTAGTTGATGTAACAGTATTTGAAGCTACCGTGCAATTCCGACATGTCCACCTACACAAGTGAACTCTTTAGTCAAACTTCCCGTTAAAAACACAATAAATATATAAAAACAATAGAATGTATGAATTTGGACAAGTGAATACTTCCGTGGACTATAACAAATGTGGATTATCAATCTTTCACCGCTATCCGTCCCCATAAAAGGGGCTGCTCTTGCAACTCCACTCACCGTCTGCAAGTTACCAGTAACACACAAACATTCAAGATAAATCCAAAATTTATAAGCTAATCAAAATGAAATACCAACAAAAACAATACCTGGTAAAGAGCGACAGTAGAATTCTTGAACGCGCTATCACTAGCCCACACATAAATACCAATCACTTTCATACCTCCTAACAGCATTCTTGAAACCTAAAGCAGCAACTCATTCAATCTTAACCATGGTAATGTTGATTGACAAACAAAGCTTTTCCCGAGTGTGAAATTTACCTGACGCGCATGTTCGGCGACCCAATCCTGGTCGATGACTAAAGAGGGAGAATCGGAGGGTTGAGATTTGGATTTGGAGGTCTTTTTCTTTTCGTCTTTGGAGGTAGTTTCATTAAGAAGACAAGCTGCCTCTCCGGCATCGTTTTGAGGGGTAGGGATTAAATCGAAGACAAAACCTCGGTCTAGAGTGGAGCTTAGCTTGCCTATTACAAGACCAACCTGCCAACTTACAAAGTGTGAAAATCCCCAAATTCAGAAAGATATATAAAGTGAATAGAGAGAAGGAGAGAGGACCTGGGCAGGGAGAGTAGATTGAGAGAGGCGATCTTCGGCTAATTTGAGTTGAGTTTCCTCACCAACCACCCCTTTAACCATTGTTATTCACTCAGGCTGGGATCAACAGAATTGGAGCTTCCAGAAAATAGTTAAAAGAGTTTGGTGGGTTCGGTATTTCAGAGTTGTGAGAACGAACGGTTGAACTGGCCCACGACGAATATGCTTAATTTGGGCTATAGTTTGGGCCTAGTTTGGTTCTTGCGTTTTCAGTTGAAATCCAGTTAGCTTTTGTACGTGTTTATTAAGGACACCGTATAATGTACTTTTTTTTGTATAATAATGTTAAAATTTACAACCTTTTCTGGCAACTTTTACATGCTAGTTCGTTATCGATTAGTTCGTAAATAAATATATAAAACCTATTTTATAAACTAACCAATGACAAAGATTATGAGAAAACGATATGAGATGAGTTACGCGCCTTGTATTACTCTGTTTTATAATTGACATATTAAGAATAAACGAGGCGGCTTTCGATTTAAATTTAACTGTGAAACCCAACAGCTGAAAAGTGTTCCCAATTTAAATAAAGTTTTTTCTCTTATGACAGTACGACATCATATAAACAGCCTTTTGTGATATTATTCGAATCCAACCTCGAAATACTGAAAAGCATTGCAGTTACTCTGCTTGTGCTGGAGCTCACGGTTTCTCATTAGTGGTCTTTTGGTTGACAATTTTATTAAAAATATCAATAATCTATGAACCCATAAGTAATGAAATCCATTTACAATTTATAAAAAATTAGTTTTAGTTGGCCGTCGACGCAAGTAGCGCAGAGGAGTATATTGTGGCTCATGTTTTCTCACATGGAATTGGTGTTGGAGTCATAAACGGCGGGAATATGGAAAATCTTAACTGTTCAGAGTTGGCATTAGGCTCTTTAACAAATATAATCCAATTTTTAAATGGTAATAAACAAAAACAGCTTAGTTACAGTCTTACAGTCAACTGGAAAGCCAACATTCACTGTTGTTGACCGCTCTTTCTTTATACGTTTTGCGAGATATTTTCCTCTACATTTGCACTCTTTTTACTCACCACCACCACCGTCAGACTTCTTGTTTGCTAATCTAGTCGTCCTTGTGCAGTTTTGACTATTGGATTACATTAATTTTAATTGGAAAATGATGCAGCCGCCGAAAAAAATATTGAATTCATAAACCAATGACATCATTGTGATGTTGATTAATTATAAATTTTATTTTAAAAAAAAGTAGATAATATCACGCATAAATTTAATATACTTTTTCGGTTATAATAGTATTATTCATTTTAATTAATGTTGATTTACAATTATTAATTTTCTTTTTCAAAAGTATATTTTATCTTTTCGGCAAGAAGTGCGGTTGGTAGATTGGAATATAAGCATAATACCCCACCATTACAATTTACCATTGCAGAGATGAAGAGGCCCACATTAATTGTTTTAATAAAATATCATATAGTAAAATCTGTTTCGTTTGGTTGCCAATTGGGAATATTATTTTTAGTATTCTCAAAAAAATTAAACAGTAAAATACTCAAAAACTCTGATTTTTGGGAATACTACTTTTAATATTATTTTATTTTTTTTAAATCCTCTAAATTTGTTAATTTAATTAAATATCCCTAAATATTTTTTTAAAAATTATAAAAACACCCCAACAATCCACATTTATCAGATTCCGGCCATCACCTTTGAAAAATGGCCGGAATCTGGTAGGATGGCGCACTACCTGCTGAATCGGCCGGTAGTGCGCCGATGTAGCCTTTTCTAACCAGATCCACCGGAAAATGTCAGATCTTTGGCTGTAACAGTCGGTCATGATGGCCAACAAACGGTCGTCGTTGACCATCAACGACGACCGTTTGTTGGCCGTCGTTGAGAGCAAATACGGCCAGATCCACCATGGATCTGGCCGAAAAAGGCCATATCGACGCATGACCCGCAAGATCCAGTCGGTCATGCATCGATAAGGCGACTCTGGCCACCCTCCGGTGGTGGTGGCCGGCTATCCGTATTTGAGGGTGGGTTGGGAGTGTTTTTGTTAACTTTTAATGTTTTATTATAGAGGGTATTTTGTAAAAAAACAAACATAGGGGGCATTTTATAATTTATAAATCCTACGTGTAATACCCGCCCAATTCAACTTTTTTTTAACTTTTTTCAAAAAACTTTCCCCAAAACCCCCAAATTTTGAACCAAACGAAGCATTAGGCTCCGTTTGGTTCCCTTTTAGGAATACTACTATTAGTATTAAAATTGTAAAAACTCACAATATTATTCAATATTATTCAATTTTTTTTAAACCCCTTAAATTTGTTAATTTAATTAAATATCCCTAAATTTTTTTTTAGAAATTACAAAAACACCCCAACAACCCATGTTTACCAGATTCCGGCCACCACCGCCGGAAGATGGCCAGAATTTGGTATAACGGCGCACTACCGACTGAATCTGGCTGGTAGTGCACCGATCTAGCCTTTTCCGGCCAAATCCACGATGGATCTGGCTGGAAAAGGCCAGATCTAAGGCTAAAGATCTGGCCGTTGACGATCAGATCTTTGGCCGTAGCCAGTCGTCAACGACGGCCAACATATGGTCGTCGTTGATGTTGGCCGTCGTTGACAAGCAAATACGGCCAGATCTGGCCGTCAATGGCCAGATTTAGCCGTAGATCTGGCCTTTTTCGGCCAAATCCACGAGGGATTTAGTCGGAAAAGACTATATCGGCGCATGACCGGCAAGATCTAGTCGGTCATGTGCCGATACGACCACTCCGACCACCCTCCGACGGTGGTGGCCGGCTGTCCATATTTTTTGGGTAAATTAGAGATGTTTTTGTTAACTTTTAATGTTTTATTATAGGGGTGTTTAGTAAATAAATAAATATAGGAGATGTTTTTATTAATTTCTAAATTCTATATGATAATACCTACCTAATTTAACTTTTTTGAATTTTTTTCATAAAATTTTTCTAAAAAATATAAAAAAATAAACCACACGGAACCTTAATCTTTCCATTTCTACGTTATAATAAAAAAAATGGAAATGGAAATGGAAGTATATAAATTCTCGATACGGTAGCATCGTTCATTTTAATTAATGTTGATTTATCATTATTAATTTTCTTTTTCGAAAGTATATTTTATCTTTTCGGCAAGAAGTGCGGTTGGTAGATTGGAATATAAGCATAATATCCCACCATTACAATTTACCATTGTAGAAATGAAGAGGCCCACATTAATCTTCCCATTTCTACATTATAATAAAAAAAATCAAAATGGAAATAAAAATCTTCCTTCCACGTCTCATCATTATGTCACTTCTTTAACACTCCAGTATCTAGGCCCCACCATTTCAATGTCTTCCTCGGCTGCGCCGTTTTTCCCTCGAATGCCCATTTACAACAAACCCTAACCGTGCAAAAACCTCTCTCCGGTTCTCCCTCTCCAATGGAAAACTATTCTTACTCTTCTTACCCCGACTCCGGCGACTCTTCCCCGCACTCTCGCGAAATCGACTGCGAGAATCAGTCATGGGACGAACCTCCATCTAACTCCAAAGTCAAGTTCATGTGCAGTTACGGCGGCAAAATTCAGCCCCGACAACATGATAATCAACTCGCTTACGTCGGCGGTGAGACCAAAATCTTAGCCGTTGAACGAAATATCAAGTTCAATGTCATCATGAATAAACTTTCTGCTCTTTACGGCGATGAAAACATTTGCTTCAAGTACCAGCTTCCCGGCGAAGACCTCGATGCTTTGATTTCTGTCACCAATGACGAGGATCTTGACCACATGATGTTAGAGTACGATCGCCTGGTCCGAGCCTCTCCCAAACCGGCAAGGTTGAGACTCTTTTTGTTCCCATTAAATCCTAAAATATCGTCGGTTTTTGGGGCAAGTGAGACGAAATCGGAGCGGCAGTGGTTTGTGGACGCTTTAAATTCTGTCCAGATCCAGCATCTCGATGGCTCTTCGCCACCAGTAGCTGCCGTATCGGCGACAAACCCCGATTTTTTGTTTGGATTAGATAAACCGAAAATGCCGGAAACGGTTACGACGCCGGTAATTCCAGAGGTAGTTGGGAAGGATGTAACGGCTGGATCCGATTGTGGATCTGAGGATCGGCAAGTGATTGGAGATCACATGGTGGAGATCCAGAGGCAAGAATTACATAGAATGAACATTGGTGGAATTAATACTCATGAACAAGTGAACCAAAATCCCAGAGTTAGTTACGCCGGACAGACACTTGTTACGGAGAAAATTGCACCTCCACCGGGGGCAATCCCGATGCCAATGCAAATGTCCATGCCGCCTGCGTATATACCGGAACGACATATGACAGCTGCCAATTATCCGACGGAGCAGCCCGTTTATTACATTCCAGCTACTTCAGCAGCTGGGGTTTATTCGGCTCAAACTCTGCGACCGGTTACTGGACCAACCGGTCAAGCTTATTACGGAATGCAGAGGATGGTCCACGAACAATCGATGTACAATGTGGTACCGGCACCGGCTTCAATTCAGCAGCAGGCGAAAGGTGGGTTAGTGGCTGAGCCTGGGTATGTACAGATGGCATATGATGGTGCAGGGAGACAGGTGTATTACACGTCAGCTGCAGCCCCAGCAGCGGGAGTGATGGCGCAGTACCAGGCGGTGGCTGTGGATGGAAGGCAAGGTGGTGGAGCGTTGAATCAGGAGGGTAAGGTTGTGGTCAATAACAAGGGACCTCAAACTAGTTCTGTGTGATTTCAATTTTTATGATTTTTGTTCTGTTTAAGTTAACTGTTAAATAAGAAAGAAAAATTTATACAGGTTTTGTTGAATGTTTGATTTTTTATCGTTCGTTTTATTGTTTGTTGTGTAAATTAGAATTACTTAAAAGACTGTAAATTGGATTATTATTTGATTAGTTTATTGGGAATGTAAACAAATGGTTGTCCATTCCAAATCTCGTCAGAGTTGATGCTATTGCTGGTGTTTTAGTTCATGCTTTTCTTTCCTCGTTTAATTTGAAAAGTTGAACCATTGGGGTTTTCATTGCCAGTAATACCTTTGAGTTAAATGTGATATCCACATGCTTAGGCATAGCTGGAAAGTTGCATTTGTTATTTTGGCTATCTGGAATACATGTGCTATATTTCTGGGTTTATGTTGAAATTTCAACTTCAAGTAATTGTCTTCATGAATCATGAAAAATATTAATGGCTCTCGATTTGTAGCCTTTTGCTCAATGGATTTTCATTTACTTTACCTGACCTCTCCATTTTTTTAGATTTCAATTGTTTACTTGGAGAATTAATTAATTATTGGCTCTGCGAAACTTGTATAGTTCACCATGTTACCCATTTCAACATAATTTCAAGAATGAAATTGTAAGGGGAAATTAGAAACATGATGAGAAACTGAAAGTGCAGTTTGAGGAAACAGTTTTCAAGACATTTTATATTTTATTTGTTTCTGGAGACCTTGACAGCAGGTGTAGATAATTGCAGTGGAGGATTAAAGTACGATAAACTTGTCATGGAAGGGTATAAGTTGGTTTATTATAATATGTAATCAACCTTACGAAATTGGTAGCAACTGCACAATACTCTTATTTATTGGTGTTGGCTGGTGGGGCTGCCTGGCAATACCAACTCCATATCCACCCTACATCCACCCCAGGAAGTACCAGTCTCCTCCACAAGGGTCAAAACCACCACTCATTTAGTTTCACATCCTTCAGCGTTTTCACCATCTCCAACTGCTCCATCTTTTTCAGTTGGTATGCCATTAGTACTCGCACAAAATGCTGCTGGTGTGGTAGTCATTAATACTAGAACAAAAGACAGCTGGCATGTCATTAGTAGTTTAGTACTGAAAGTGTTTAGAAAACTCTAGAAAACTGATAGAAGAAAAATGCAGAAAAATCAAGAAGAAAGAGACGTGTTGAAATTCTGTTTTGGATTCTGTTTTTCAGTTACAGAGTGCATGCAGGAGCTGCTGTTTTTATAATACAAGAAGACGCATGAAACTTCACACAAACTTCTGCTTTATGACAAAATACACCCCAGTAATAACAGCTTCTAATCTTAACAAAAGACACCCTATCATGATTCTTTAACTATTCTAATTTCTAATAAGTACTAAAACAAAATGCTGCCAGTTTATTCATTGCTTTAAACTGTCAACCACCATCTATACTGTCATCAACATCTAACACAACCAGCACATTCAGTACACGAGCCCACTGTCCATATCTATCACTCTTCACCAAATTTTCTTTGGTCAAAATCACCACAGGAACAGCAACTCAATAGGGTTTCACAATCATGATCACATTCTCTTCCGGATTTGTAATGTATTTCAGGGGTCACTTTGGTGCCTTTCTTGGCTACCTACTTAATTAAGTATCGGAAGATAGTAGAAGAGCCAATAAAATTCCAGGCAGCGGTAACCATTTTTCATTGATCTGTTCATCAAAGTATCGTGAGTTAGTAATTATCTTATTTTTCTCAAGGGTTTTGGCCCAATAAAATGATTCACCTCAAGAGAGCAAGACTTCAGCAAAGCCACAGCTTTTCCATAGGGATTCTCCGCAGAGAATTCAACAGCCGTCATGGAGTCCTCTTCAACTTTCTGCTTCTCACAGTTTTTTAATTCATATTTGCAGTATCCTACCAGGAAAAAATATCACCTGGAGCATAAATAAATAGAAGTTGCCAAGTTGGTAAGCTGTGATTATATATGAAAAAAAAAAAAAAAAAAAAGATCAACACGTCATGCTAGAGGAACAATGTCTCCATATGAATTTGCAAACATTACTGTCTACCTTCACTTCTTGTACATAGGTCGGCCATCTACATTGTATTTAAGGTTTGATGTATTGCTCACCTTTTGGCTGCCTGTGAACTCAAATCTCTCCTTGTTACTGATTTTCTTTTAAGCTAAAACAACCAGTTATAATTTAGCAAAGACCATCCTGTTCCAGAAAACTCTGAATGGATTTGGCATTGTCATAGGCTGAATCTGTGAGCTTCTGGATTACAACTCACACATAATCTTTGCATATGAGTGCGAATTTTTTTTTCAGAATTTGCTATAGTAGCTATTTGCACCCATTGTTTTTTACAAGGCTGACTAAAATAATATAATGGAAAATCCTTGCTTCCCAACAGAGGATACAACAGTCCGAAAATCAAGGATTTTCCATAATATTCTTCACAGTCAGCCTTATAGGGCACCTGAGACAACAATGGGTGCAATTAGGTACCATAGCAAATTCTGAAAAACATATTTTTCACACACTCATATGCAAGATTACGTGTGAGTTGTAAATCCTAAAGCTCGCCGTATTCAACCTAGACAGTGCCAAATCTATTCACAATCAAAAGGCACAACCATAAGGGCCTTCTGTAAGCTGAGATTCGGTATGTTTAGCTAGCAATGGAAGCCAACAGTATTTTTACCTGAAATCATCATAACAAAAAATTCACATCTTAACTTTTTTGTGGCCTGCAAAAGTAAATCAGCATAACTCTTACCCTAAAATCAATTTCGAAGGAATTATTGTACCAATACAAGGGCCTATATCTTTTCTAAGATTTAGACGCACACATTAGTATTGTGATCATTCTTTCACAACTTGCATGGCTCATTCACGATATTGTCTCCAGGAAAAGAACTAAGACCTCATTTAGTCCACAAGAAACCTAAGCTGCTGTTTGGCTAATACAGGACCATCATAGAGGCAGCGGTGCCTGTCGCAATAAACTTAAGCTGATGTTTGGCTACGGCCACGTAGAGGTCTTCAGTTATTACAATCTCCTGTGCCTGAGCCCACTCTAGCTCTTGCTCCTTCTCCATTCTAAACATGAAGAAGATTAATAATGAATTTAAAAATCAGCTCAACATACATGTTTTTACAAGATACTTACCAACAATAAACCAACTTTTGAAGAAGGTATAACATGCCTACTACCTGAAGGTGTTCCTAACTCAGCATAACATCTACAATGTGCTGAGGATGGTATTACACCATTCACAAAACAAACATACCAAACCCAATTGCCATTTGCCCTTCATGACCAATACAACAATCCATTAATAGTTCTGTTTGTTATTGCTTTTGTAAATTCTGTTCATAAAAGTTGATTTTATCTTCCTTTTAAGTAGTAACTTAACAAGTTAAGTTTATGATTATGAAAACTTGGTATATCGCATATAACATGCCTTCTAACTCAGCATAACATGCATCCTTGAAGGTGTTCCTTGAAGAACCAATTTTGATTTGATGCTCCGCAGTTGGTTATCCAATAATGATATTAATGGTTTACAAGGGACAAATCTAAGGGCTAATCCCTTCTGTATTGGTAGGTATTGTGAATTGTCAACTTAATCCCGTCTGCCGGCATAGCATTACCAAGTGGCCAAATACAATTACGCCATTTTAGTAACATCATCTGAAAGCTAAAACGGCCTCCACAAGAATAGGCTCTTCTTTTCATATATGAAAAGCACGACAAGAATAAGATGGCGAATGTCAACACTTAAATCTTTGCAAGAAGGCAATCCTTAGATGCTGAGCTAATACATATTTGACAAGTTGATGATATTTTCAATCGCCCACGTTAATTTCTTAATCGTTATCTCTTGGGGCATACTATGATGCTTGCCATATAAAAGAGTCCAAGGGATAATTATAATATGAATAAGGAGTTCAAATATAACAAGCAAGTGGAGAGTGGGCCTGCTTCTCCAGTAATTAATGTTGGATTATAATTTATAGGCAAACACTTTAGGAGACATTCAACATCTTTTTATCTCCTGATAAAACCTTAAAAGTCTATATAAATTCCTCACCTAATTAATAATAAACCCATTTTGCCATGATGCTTATCTTAAACTGCTTTAAAATAAAGTTAATTATAAATTTAGAATTTGTTATCATCGCGAAGATGCCCACCTGTTTGTTTATGTGACTCTGACAAGAAAGCATTCATCAAATCCTATTCAAAATTCGATCAGTATGGTATGTAACATGTGGTGTTTGCCTGAATACCACGTGCCCTGGAGCTCAAATCTTAAATAACTGTTTCACCTTGTTTTTACAGGTAATTTTCTAATGATGGACAACAAATTTATTAGTTTGAACTCTATTAAAGCAAGAAAAGATGATTTTTTTGCATACCTATTGGCTAGATGCATACAATATTAAAAAAAAAAAATTTTCACAGTTCAACTTAAATTCACTGTCGTTGAAGAAAAGTCGATGAGCTACATTTCCATTGTTTGCGACAAAATGGCTGAAATTTAATAAATATCAGGACCTAAATCTCCTCCCGGTTCAACGTCAGCCACAAATATAGACTCATAGTTTTATGACACTGTTTTTATTGAACAGGCAGCTAAAATTTTTTTTGACTTTATATGTTTGGCAAAAAATTAATAATCAAACAGTAAATTTAAGACAGCCATGTAATAATGTTGCAAAGTCATACAAAAAAATCAAACAAAGATCAAGCTCACGCTCGCCGTCCGTACTGCAGCACAATTTTTTTTAAATAAAAATTACTGAATTTTAGCGCAAACAAAGCATTTTCATTGTTCAACTAATTAGATCGATTATAACAATATATCACCCCACCCAATCTGATCCTTCCAAATCAAAGCACCTCAATTTGAATTTTCTTTTTAGAAAATAGCATAAATTTATCTGTATTTTTCTACTCTACTTTCCCATTTCCCTTAAATTCCGACCGAACAAGAACGTACCAAAAAAGTAAAAAACTTTCGGACCAACCAACCGATTAAGTCCCTTTCTGCTTTAGACATCTGTACTTGGCAACTTCTTCAGTATTATTCTTTTAAATCAAATCTGGAGTGTGTCTGAACAAAGAAGTAAGATATTTATTTTTTAAAGCAAAAAGGTTTCCCACTATCTATTTAATATGCTGAGCCTGGGATTGTGTTTTGAAGAAGAAAGATAAAAGCATAAGGTAGCCGCAGAGACGAGAAGAGAAGTAGCAAAATTTCAAAAATGGTGGTGAGGAAAGTGGGGAAGTACGAGGTGGGGCGGACGATCGGTGAAGGGACATTCGCCAAAGTGAAGTTCGCGCAAAATACGGAGACAGGTGAAAGTGTTGCTATGAAAATTCTTGATCGAAGTACCATAATCAAACATAAGATGGCTGATCAGGTTTGTCTTGTGTGTCCCCTTCTAATTTTCAAATTTCCAACAAAAAGTTTTTTTTTTTTTTGGGCTTTCTAGGCCGCAAATGTTTATTTCCAAGTAAAGGGTTCATTGGGAGAAACACTGTTCAGGAGTAGGCAAGCTATTGTTAAGCCTTGAATTTGCGATTTTTTATTTTATTTATTTTATTTTTGTTAAAAATCCAATTTTAAAGATTAGCATGTTGTTTGGTTGTGAAGTATGTTGGGGAGTTGTATTAATAACCTGCCATTAAGTTAACTTCGGAGATTCGACTTTCAACTCAGACTTCAAGTTCTTCTCTTGGAAATGCCTTGTCAATAACTGGTTGTTTCCGATATAGAATTTGGTGCAAAGGGCTCATCAATTCGGAGCTTTTCAGGATAGACATTAGCAAAACTTGTGTGGTTAGATCCATTTATCATTGGTTTAACTTCCATGAATTTCCTGGTAGCCGTAGTGGCTGGCAGTTTTTAAGTCGTTCCAATAATGGTGCTGCTTCAAAGAAGGAGAAAGCAATGTAAATGATGTATTGTTTACTAAAAATGAACAATTGATTTAGTTGGTGTAACCTTCTAATTCAATGCATTTCTCTCTTGAAGTAGTTTCTGGGTTTTGACGTTTTAGGTATCATGATATAATCTTAAATTGTTGTGATTACTATCTAGTATAATTTGATTCTTCACTTTTATGCAGCCTTGTTTCCAAGTATCTTTTTCTTAAAATGACTCATTTTTGGTTTTACAGATCAAGAGAGAGATATCTATAATGAAGCTTGTCAGACATCCTAATGTTGTCCGGCTTCATGAGGCATGGGATATGCATATTTTTATTTATGTGGATTAGATTATTAGTGTGAGCTTGTTTTGTCATTAGTCAGTTATATTCGCTTCTGACTCTTGATTGTTTTGTTAGGTTCTTGCTAGTCGTACTAAGATCTATATAATCTTGGAGTTCATCACGGGTGGTGAACTGTTTGATAAAATAGTGAGTTGTCTAACTTGGGATCTAACATCTGAAGATGTTTTGGTCTTGACATTATAATCTTTTTCCAAAGTGTAACGTTTGATTTACTTATGATCATGTAGGTTCATCATGGACGACTTAGTGAGGCTGAGGCTAGGCAATACTTCCAACAACTTATTGATGGCGTGGATTTTTGCCACAGTAAGGGTGTCTACCACAGAGATTTGAAGGTGTTCTTCTGGTATCATCTGAAATGATGTAGTGCTTCTCTGTTTCAATTTATTCTTACAATTTTTTTTTTCCCTTCTGTACACAGCCTGAAAATCTTTTACTTGATTCCCAAGGAAATTTGAAGATATCAGATTTTGGTCTAAGTGCATTGCCAGATCAAGTAAGACAATTATAAGAGTAGTAGCAATCTCTCTTTTTTACTTTTGGCATAATGGGCTTTTACCTGGGAATTTATGTGTCTAGGGAGTTAGTCTACTTCGGACAACATGTGGAACTCCTAACTATGTAGCACCCGAGGTAATTATAGGATGGTCACTCCAGTAGTAAAGGAAATATAATGTGATTGCAGAATTTTATATCAAAGTATGCTTCTTCATCAATCTTTTCATTTTTTTGCTCTAGGTACTTAGTCACAAGGGTTACAATGGTGCTGTGGCAGATGTATGGTCTTGTGGGGTCATCCTTTATGTTCTAATGGCTGGATATCTTCCATTTGATGAGCTTGATCTCACCACGCTATATAGTAAGGCATGAACTACATTTTTGTGGTCGACTTTTATGATAATTGTGCAATAAATAGCTTTGTTGCTTGCATTCACCAAAGTTTGACGTCAGTATCAGTGTTAAATTACAGTTGATTTTAATTAAATTGTTTCATTTCTTTCCTGCAGGTTGAAAAAGCTGATTACTCATGTCCGTCTTGGTTTCCAGTGGGAGCCAAATCATTAATTCATAGAATTTTGGACCCAAATCCTGGAACTGTAAGTATTTGCTGTCTCTAGAGACATTGCTTCTGTTATGTCTATATTTGCACACTCTTGGCTGCTCTTGTGATTATGATTCGTATCAAGAACATGGAATTACGGATGTGGATGGTATGATACAGTAATTACTTAAATGTAGATTTTCTATACAAACTTAAACTCAAAAGTCAAAAACTTGATATGTGGTTGGCAAAGTGGATCATATTTCTTATGAAAGTAATTTTTGCATATTATTTGGTCATGATAGTGTTACTGTATGTGATAATCCTGCTCCTGGATCATGCCATTTTTGACCTCCTAAATTTAGACAGTTTTTTGAGCATCTTTTATTCAACCTCGTCACATTTAAATATGTGATAGTGGGTAATGCGAGGATAACACAATCACAACCATTTCTCTCTCTCTCTTTTTTCTTCTTCATTTATTTATTTTTTATTTTATTTTATTTTTTTGTGGCTTTAGGAAGCCATAATTAAATGCTCCAAGTTCTGATTTCCCCGCAGTCACCTTCTTTAAGAGTCTATCAGCAAAATTCATACTCGTAATTCTGATTTCGCTGTCCCTTGCTACCTGAAAGGCATCCTGTCTACTGGCCAATGTGCTTTTTATTTGCATTGTGAATTAAGTTTCTTCAGCTTGAGTTGGGTTAAAAGCACGGAATGTATTGCACCATCACCATCTTCAAATAAAGTATCTCATTTATAAATATAGAATTCTGTGGAAAGTCGTATGTACAGCTTGGAGGAGTCTTTCCTACCTTGGGTAACTAGTCCCTGGTGCTAGTATGAAAATGAAAATGTATCCTATTTGACGTTAGTGCATGACTTTCTTACTATTTGGCTGGCATCGTTACCTCTATAGTGTTGTGATACGATAAAAAAATGTGTATGAGAATTCAGTTGCGTTAGTTTAGTTTCTGTGCTTCTTCTGGCTGTTTCTAAAGTTCATGTGTATGCATGTGTGCAGCGTATTACGATTGAACAGATCAGAGATGATGAGTGGTTTAAGAAGAATTATGTTCCTGTCAGACTTCTTGAATATGAAGATGTCAACCTGGATGATGTAAATGCCGTTTTTGATGATCCCGAGGTTGGTAAGGTTTGAGCAGTACAGTTTTTTTTTTTTTAGAATTTCAATCACTAGTTAACGCTTTTGGTTCTACTACTTTTTAAAGACCTGCTTATTCTATACAAGTGTTAAGTCTTTTTAGCATATCTGAAGTCTCCTACTGTAAACGTTGTGTCCATATCAGGTTTTTCTGTTCGTCCTTCTGTTCATAATTTGTAATATTAATTTGAACTTATCCTTTTAAGTGGCCTCCTTATTAGCTGACAGAGGTGGTGCCCATATCAGGTCCTTCCGTTCAAATGCATTGTTGTGGTGATCTGGTATATTATTGACATTATCGGTAATGTGGTTTATTGCAGGAAGGGCAGGCTAATGAGCAATATGGGACGGAGGACATGGGCCCTTTGAATCTCAATGCCTTTGACTTAATAATTTTATCTCAAGGCTTGAACCTTGCAACACTATTTGACCGTGGAGAGGTGTGTATTTCTCAATGTACAGTTTAAATTCCCTTCTTTTTTTCTGAGGCCTATTTGAGTTATCCTAAATTTGGATGGTCAAGATAACAAAAGCATTGCGTTTCAACATTCTTCAAATTAGGGAACTTGCTGTAACAGCATTTTTTTTTTTTTTTTTTTTTTCCTTGATGCCATGAAGCCTTTAGAATGTGTACTAATGGCAGTCCTGTTGAAAATCTTAATTTGCAAAATTATATCATGCCACAAGTGTATAATTTAAGGAGACTGCTGAATAAATGTTGTTCTTCCTCTTCCTATAAAATATTTATAATTCTTACCCTTTTTGACAGGACACTGTAAAGCATCAGACACGTTTTGTGTCACAGAAGCCAGCAAAGGTTGTTTTGTCAAGTATGGAGGTTGTCGCACAATCAATGGGTTTCAAGACGCATATTCGTAATTATAAGGTGGAGTAGCAGACCACTTGGGGATTTTTTATACCACAAATATAACAGTTCTTCCCTTTAATTATATTTTTCTACTTCACTTAATATTTACCTATTTATTTCAAACTGAAAGTGATCCTGAGTGGTTTTCCCGAACTCATATTAAACGAGATTGTTTCAACTTTCAGATGAGAGTGGAAGGCCTTTCTGCAAACAAGACCGCTCATTTCTCAGTCATCTTGGAGGTAGGTTTCAACCCTAACTTTAGACGAGATTCCAGTTTCCCTATAATCTGGTTTACTGATTTTCTTTCCTTTTCTAAAATGTATGGAGTGAAGATATTTGAAGTTGCTCCCACATTTTTTATGGTAGACATTCAGAAAGCTTCTGGAGATGCTAGTGAATACCTCAAGGTAAGTTATCTAGAATCTAGACGATAATTTATATACATCAGATAGCCCGAGCTGACCTCAAATTTTGATTAAAAGGACATTTTTCTCTGTATTGGCAGTTTTACAAGAATTTTTGTAGCAATCTTGAGGATATCATCTGGAAACCACCTATTGAATCAAGCAAATCAAGGATCACCAAGTCAAAGAGTAAAAAGCGTTGATTTCTTTGCATCATGTTCTCAGGATTAACGCTTAGATCGGCTTTCAAAATTGAATTAGAATGTCATATCAATTTGTACAAACTCTCTTTGTATCAAAGTTTGTACAAATATCTTTACCCTTAGAAAATATATGTATAATAAATTTTGTATGGTTAGTGTTTGTTGTCGGTTTTTGATCAGCATGACTTCGTAGCTAACTGTTACAGACCAGATTTTAAGAAAAGTATGATAGCATTCTCAATTTGATATTGAGATATTCACACTACCAACAAATGGAATTTTCATGACACTCCAAACATAAACCAGTAAAAATCTGTTGGGAGAATTAGTATACTCAGAATTTTATCAAAGTTTTCAAAGACCGACACCAAAATCTCCACATGAACAATGTCCAGTAGCAAATTTATGGAGCCGTTGGCTATCCCTTACGATGATATTTCTAGCTGTCAGTGACGAGATAATCTTTATAAAATAATGGCAGTCCCTGCACATGGTGGTACTCTTAATAACTACTAATGGTGCAACATTTAGTGTGTTCAACAACCCAAATGCAACGGCCAGCTTTTCACTGTGATAAACAGTAGATGAGTATGTCTTTTCCTCATCCTCCTCTTCGATTAGCTCAAGTCTTTCTTGTGATTCGTACCCAAGACNTTTGTATGGTTAGTGTTTGTTGTCGGTTTTTGATCAGCATGACTTCGTAGCTAACTGTTACAGACCAGATTTTAAGAAAAGTATGACAGCATTCTCAATTTGATTTTGAGATACTCACACTACTAACAAATGGAATTTTCATGACACTCCAAACATAAACCAGTAAAAATCTGATGGAGTATTAGTATACGAATTTTATCAAAGTTTTCAAAGACCGACACCAAAATCTCCACAGGAACAATGTCCAGTAGCAAATTTATGGAGCCGTTGGCTATCCCTTACGATGATATTTCTAGCTGTCAGTGACGAGATAATCTTTATAAAATAATGGCAGTCCCTGCACATGGTGGTACTCTTAATAACTACTAATGGTGCAACATTTAGAGTGTTCAACAACCCAAATGCAACGGCCAGCTTTTCACTGTGACAAACAGTAGATGAGTATGTCTTTTCCTCATCCTCCTCTTCGATTAGCTCAAGTCTTTCTTGTGATTCGTACCCAAGACCCTTTGCTTTGTCTAGCAATTCATCCAATAACTTGTACATCGCTGCACTCTGAGGATGCAACCGATCATTGGGCTTAAATGAATAAACTGTCTTTAATGCTAATCCAGCTCCAATCATGTGTTTTACTTAGTTTCTCTTCTTTCATGAGTTGTTTCACCCTGGTAACATCCTCCCACCTGTCTGCGGAGAGGAACATATCCAACAACATAACGTAAGTTTCAGGATTTTTTGGTTTGAGTTGAAGTAATTTTTCAGCGGCGGAAAATCCTAATTCCATGTTCCCCTGTCTCCTACATCCTGCAATCAAGAGTGACCATATCACCTCGTTGGGTGCAGAATCCATTTTCTTAATGAAATCAAAAGCTTCCTCTAAGCGACCTAACCTCACATACATATCAATCAAGCACACGAAATGGTCCATCACAGGCTTGATTTTGTAATCCTTTTGCATCATCTCAAAGTAACTGAGTGCTTCATGAACCATTCCTGCATTGCTGCAAGCTGATAAAACACCCACAAAAGTTACCTGATTCGGTCTAACTCCTGCAACCAACATATCCTCAAAAAGCCATAGTGCTTGCTGACTCTGGCCATGGTTTGCGAAACCAGTAATCATGGAAGTCCATGATATCAATGTTCTTGTAGACATCTCCACAAATGCTTTGCTTGCTCTGTCAACGCTTCCACATTTGTTATACATGTTAACCAGTGCAGTTCCCACAACCACATCTGACAAAAATCCGGTTTTAAGGGTTTGAGCATGAATTTGTTCCCCTTGTTCTAAGGCCACCAATCTACTACAAACAGTCAAGATACTTGAAAAGGTGTACAGATCTGGTTTCAAGCCTGATCGATTCAATTTTGAGAAAATGTTCAGCGCCTCAGTTCCACCATGGTGAGCTGAAAAATCATCCTTAGCTAGATTCATCATTTGGGCATGGCCTGCGATCATCGCATTCCATGTAACCAAGCTGACATGTTCCATGCTATCAAAAAATTTATTTGCCGAATCAAGAGATCCACATTTGAGGTACAAATACATGATCGAATTTTTTATGCGGAGGTTTGATTCATAGCCAAGTTTAATGCTCATCGAGTGAAGTTGTACTCCTACACGCAGCGACAGCATTGTAGAACACATGCTCAAGATGCTAGTTACTGTAAATTCATTAGGTAAAACGCCTTCAGAAAGCATCCTAGCAAAAAATTTCAACCCCTTCAAAACTTCGCCATTTGCACCACAAGCAAATATAACTGAAGTCCATGAAATCACATTCTTTTCCCTAATCCTCTCAAAGGCTTTAACAGTTGAATGCAGGTTGCCACATGTTGAATATAAGTTACAAAGTGAGTTTCCAACGCTAGTGTCATCTTCAGTCCGATACTTAACAATATAGGCATGGATTTGCTTCCCCAATTTGATAGACTCCAGTAAGGCACAAGCATTTAAAGCAATTCCAAGAGTGATGTTTGTAGGATAAACCCCAGCTTCCAGCATCTCTAGGAAAACATGAATGGCATGCTTCGGCTGTGAATTTTGAACATAACCCGTCATCAGGCTTGTCCGTGCAACAACATTTATTTTAGGCAGATTGTGGAAAACCTTTTGAGCTTCTTCCATATTTCCACATTTTGCGTAGACATTAACAAGAAATGTCATCACAAAAAAGTCTTCATGTGTTCCGGTCTTTATGATGTGAGCATGAACAACTTGTACATTTGAAATTGAGTTCTTGTCTATGCATTCTTTCAGGACAGGAACATAATAAGATGTTTCAACCTTAGTGCCCTCTTTTATCATAGTAAGAGCTTCTTGAAAATCCGCAGACCTAACTGGTTCTGAATTCCCATTCAGTTGATTAACTGTCTGATTTCCCTGATAAGAAATGCTAGGATTCTGAGATATCAGATGAAGCTTATTATCAGTGCTTGCAGAAATTTATAGAGGACGGGGGCCAAAAAAAAAAAAAAGTAAAAACTTTCGCCAATTCAGTTATTTAAAACAAGTAAAAACGCTTACACAATACTAATAAGTTTTCTTTTTTAAGCTTCAATGATTTCTTGATGTTGTATTAGATAACAAATACAGAAAACAAAAACGCTTTAAAAATTAGTTTTATTCTGATTCAATACACCAAAACAGAGAATTCATAAATGATTGTATGTGTTTGAATGTTGTAATAGTTTCTTGAGAATTCATGCTCAACTTCTAATACATAGAAATAAAATGGAAAAAAGAAAGAGTGAATGGTACCTTCTGAGTGGGAAGAGAGGTGGAAGGCGCAGGGTGTTTTCTGGAATCTGGTTCGAGTTTAAGAGTGCAATTGACCGCAAGTGAAGGCAAAGAAGCCATGAAGGGAAGTAAACAATAGAGATGGTAGATTAAATATTAAAGAATTACATCTTGTGGAGGGTACAGGGGATGGCTGAGCCTTTATTTTTATGTGTTTGGATAGAACTCTGGACTGGAGGGACGGAATAGACCATGTCAGTTATCTGTCAACCAAGCGAGAGGTTGAAGAAATCTTAATCTTTTCAGCAAATGACATGGACACCCCTGAGTTTTAGTGTTATCATCCAAAACTTATTATCCTTTAATTTTATGTTATCGAAAATGACCAACTTGTTCAATAATTATCGTATTACTAAACATGATTAACGATTTTTTTTCCACCAAAATAATGGTTCAATGACATTTTTCTACCCACAAACTTCTAAATATAATTTTATTACCTAAATTTATATTCTATGGGCGAATAAAGAGCAAATTGATCCAAATTATTGAGACTTTTGAAGAGGAGAGATTGATAAGTCTTTTGGTGGTAAAATGTTAGGGTATGTTTAGTTCATTATTCTGATACTTTTTAGAATAATATTTTGAAAAAAGTTAAATTAAGCAGGTATTACGATGTAGGATTTAAAAATTAACAAAAATACACCATATGTTTGTTTATTTACTAAACACCCTTATAATAAAATATTAAAAGTTAACAAAAATACCTCTAACCCACCCATTAAATACGGATAGTCGGCCACCACCGTCGGAGGGTTGCTGGGGTGTTTTTGCAATTTCTAAAAAAAATATTTATGGGTGTTTAGTTAAATTAATAAATTTAGAGAGGTTTAAAAGAAATTAAATAATACAGAATAATATTTTGAAAATAAGTCAATTTTATTGTTTAACTTTATTGGGAATACTAATAATAGTATTTCCAAAAGTGTAACAAACGGAGCCTTAGATTTTGGTGGTTGAGATTGATTAGAATTTGACTTAAGAGGAACAGTTACATAAACTCTAATCGTTCGATTACTAACGATTGGAAGGGTCGACAGGAGTAGGGTTTGAAGAATTTTAATAAGTAATGATTGTGGAAGAGAATAGTAATAGTATAGGATCGCAATAATGCCGAAATATAAATTTAGATAATAAAATAATATATTAAAAGTTTATAGATAAAAAAATATCATTAAACCATTATTTAGAGAAAAAAAAAATCGTTTACTCTACTAAACACCCCCGTCCTTGGAACTACAGTATTATTTTAAAACAACCCAATTATTTAAAGTGTATATCCATATTTCTGGAAATTTATGAAAAAAAAAAAAACCTCCTTACTTATTTCCAGTTACTTTTCAAATTCAAAAGTCACTGTTAGATATCTTTAGCATTGCAAAACTCTCACGGGAGTCTCTGTCCATATCCGCCGCTTCTCTATGATTGAGAAATTGAAATACGGCTCGTCAAACGTCGAACTCATTTTTCTTTCCTTTTCTTGTTAATATATTGAGTCCGCTGCTCCTCAACTGGATCATAAAAGAAGTTATTTCATGTTCATACATTGCAAATTACAATGAAACAAAAAGAAAATGAACTTTCATGTTTATACATTACAAAAGATCAGCTGAATTTAAATTCATATACGGAAGTCCAAAAGGCTCTCATATCAATGATCCTTGCTCTCCAATTCTCCATTTTGGTTCACCCGAATTTTACAACATGGCATTTAAGGCACAACCTGATACCCCTGTTTGGCAACAAATGAGTCTGCATAAATTGTTGTGAGGATGAAAACAATTCAATTAAGGACCATAATCATAATCATGACAACCGCTTCATCTGCTTTTAATGGGGAAGATTGGCAAAATGACGTACCTTGAACCATAAAGAGAAATCTTCAGTCTTTGTATTTCATTGTTTCTTTTTCAAAACCAACTGTTGGAAATTGTTTTGCATACTCCTCAACCTCATGACCGAGCTTTGAAATCTCTGATTGAATGTTCGCATCCGATTGTAGAGTTGCCACAAAATCCTTCAACTTTCCTGGATTAATGATAGTACATTATGTTTTCAATGATTAGCCGAAGAATAATTACTATTTTATACCCAAGATATGATGGTAAAGAAAGAACCTTTACTGACAGCCTTTATCTTCAAGGCCAACTTTACAGCTGCATCAAAGAACTCAGCTACTTTGGCAAAATCTTCCTCAATAAACCCCCTAGATGTGAGAGCAGGTGTTCCTGGAGCACCAGAGAACAGGAATGTTGTAAATACAGGTGTCTGGCTAAAAATCAGAGGGAGAAAAATGATTGGAGGAGGAAGGCATACCCATTCGGATACCACCAGGTACCATTGCAGAAACATCCCCAGGAACAGTGTTTTTATTAGCTGCAATATGTACTGCTTCCAAAACCTTTTCAACTCTTGATCCATCAATACCCTGTCAACCAAAATTCCAACATAGTACTGATTCCCTTTCTGATGCTATTATTTTTTTGCAGAACCTTTGAATTGAGGCTGATTCAACAAGTTCGATAATTTATTGATTCAAAAAGTTCTATAATTTAAGGAGGTTTGTCATTCTCTAAAACATTTAAAATTGCCTGACTGTAGACTGCTCAGTAATGGGATTGAGAATTTTTCTTCCCCACACATATTTAACACAAGTTTTCTTATTACAAACAGTTTCAGTCAACTTCTTTAGACAGGATCACTGAAATGTGTTCTTGTACAAATGAAGAGAAACATCAGCATAGTGTATTAATAGTCCTACGAAATAAACTGAACTTTAGTAAAGCAGTTTGTAAGAGAGGAAAGAATGATTCTTCTACCTTGTTTCTCAAGTTGACCAAGACTAAATGGTTATCAGTTCCACCAGATACTAGTTCATAACCCTTCTCTAACAAACTCTGCAAATAGAGTGGATTTAGTAGTCTATTAACTCAATAAATTACTCTGATATGATAAGATGTTACAAACCAACAACTAAAATAAGCAAAGAATTTAAAACTGCATCGAAGCTCTGCAGCCAATGGCCATCAATGCAACGTCAGTAAAGCACATTCAGAATACCTGAGCAAATTGTGAACAATTACGGAGAACTTGCTCTTGGTAGGCCTTGTACTCAGGAGTCTTGACCTGATATCACACAATAGTTGAAGAACTTAATTAATATGGGCTAGGCCAAAATCAATAAACTAGTAATCTCTTTGGCCAAATATATAATTAAAATAAATAAATAAATAACAAACCTGCTTAAGTGCAACTGCTAAACCAGCTATGGTGTGATTGTGTGGACCACCTTGAAGCCCAGGAAAGACTGCCTGGTTAATTTTGTCCTCATAGTCATACATAACCTGTGGAGTGGAACTCCACTATCAAATAACTTCTTCAAGGAATTTAACCATTAAACTTGAATTTCCATGTATGAAAGAAGATAGAGGTGACCAGAAAAAAATCTTGCAAATAAGATGCAATTAAAAAGACAAGGTTAGTTTTAACCAAAACAGAATTAACTTTTCCTGGGTTTGAGATTCAGACTTTCACTATTAATACAAACTCTAGAGTAAAAAATAAGACTTACTTCTTGTCCTTGTTTATTAATCTCTTTAAAACCCTTCCTAAAGAAGATCATAGCCCCACGTGGACCACGAAGTGACTTGTGTGTTGTGGTTGTCACAATATCTGCATATTCAAATGGAGATGGAATAACACCTGCAGCAACCAGCCCACTGATGTGTGCCATATCAGCCAACATAACTGCTTTATGCTTGTCACAGACCTGCCGAAGCCATCAGAATTATAATCTATAAATGCCAAGATCCTGTGTCATAAAATTGTAACAGGATATGTGAGCAACAGTTGTTGAATTGTCCAACTATCAAGAACTTCACCTTACGGATGCGTGCATAGTCATAAAGCCGTGCATAAGCACTTGCTCCAGCAACAATAAGTTTTGGTCTGAAAAGTACGGCACTCTTCTCCAACTGTAAACAATTTTACTCACATAAGTCAACCGTTCACAAACAGAAGGAAAACTGCCCTTTCCAAGAAATTATTTGAAATAATTTGACCCAATCCAAGACATATATATAATTTTCAGCTCTTGATCTGTCTAATTCCTCAACGTCACAAGTGAGTTTTAATTCCAAGATGTGGCTACAGAGGTGAGTGATATATTGACCTAATTGTTAAGTCATAATTTATTTGACATTGACCAATCTTGAAAGCCCAAAATTTGGGTGAATGTCAGACCTTAACTAAAACTAGCAGCTCTTCAGAGAAAGTAGAACTTGATTCAATAAAAGCAAGAACTTGATAAAGATAAGAGGATACCTGTTCGTAGTCAATATATCCGGTACTCTCATTCAATCTATATGGCATTGTCTCAAAGAATATGGACACAGCAGATATCTTCTTAGTATCAGTCTGCACAATAGCAAAAAAAAAGATGAAAAATTGTCAATTATTTGCTACAAGGACAGACTTTATAGCTATTAAATATAATAACATCAACATTTTTATCTAAGGGACATCAAAATTCAAGTATGAACTTAATTTCCAACATTTGCATATAGCTATAATGTTTCTAAACTACTCTTGATGCTTATTGCAAGCTTCCATTAAAGCTCAAAATTTTACTTCATGTTGAAATGGACACTATACTACCTCTGTTCACCGTATATCAGGTTGTCAAAAAAATTTCAGAAATAGTTTTTCTTGGAATGTGCAAGCACCTGATAACCATGTGAAAGATGCCCACCATGAGGTAGATCAAGAGCCATAATCCTCTCATGAGGTTTCAGCAATGCAGTGTAAGCTTGAAAGTTAGCAGGGGATCCAGATAATGACTGCACGTTGACTGCAAAATGAAGGTACACATTACTTTCAGCAAATCTCATCTATTATCGTATCACTGGTAACTGCATGAATGAAATATATAATTTTTTGGAAAAGATCTAGCCAACCAGGCTACCTCTTTGGTGACAAAAGAATGTATTATAAATAGCAAATCCTATGCTCAATTCATTTACCTCCCCATTTTGCAGGATCCAACTGAAAAGCTTCTAATGCACGTCTCTGACATAATGACTCGGCCATGTCAATATACCTAATTATATAGAACTTTATAAATTACAGTACAATATAAAACATAAAACAAAAATTAAAATGAAACATTGTTTTACAAACTAAAAGCTCGTACCCTATGACACATTATATATGACCCAAATCTTGTTTTATTTTCTTTGTAGATATATCTATCTTAGTAATCCATTTTTTAATACAAATTGCATAATTCACCAGAAAAGAAAAAAGTTAATCAGGTTTCTCTTACTCGTTTCCTCCGTAATATCTAGCACCCGGATAGCCTTCACTATATTTGTTAGTCATGACAGAGCCAACAGCTTGCATTACTGAGACTGAAGTGAAATTTTCTGATGGTATGAGTTCAAGTCCCTACACATTTAAAATTTGAGTTACAATCATTACGTGTAACTCAGACATTTGAAGTCCATCAAGATTCAAGACTAGCCAGCAACAAAATATTATCAAACAAATATTGCATTGATTATTTTCATACCTTCCATTGCCTAGCTTTCTCTAGTTCAATGATGTCAGCAATTTCGGGGTCGATCTCCTCGAGTGGAGTATTCAATTGCTTAATCCACTGAAATGAATAGTTTCAAATAAGATAACTCCAAAATGGATCTGTTAAAGCTTAGCAATGAATTCTTACAACACATAGATCCATAGATAAAGCGTTGTGAATACATTAAGTTAGCATCTAATAAATAGAACGCAGAAATGAAGCTTACAGTAGCACGAGCTTGATCTTTCTCATCTAGTGCTTGGTTGGGTAAAGAAGACTGTAAAAATGGATCAAATGAAACGTAAGAGGCTTATAAACAAATGGAAAACGAAGCACAAAATAAAAACAGTCGACAGATTATGAGGAGTACCATGTAACAGAGGGAACCACGATTTAGGTGAAATTTGAGTGGGTTGCTGATGGAGGATGAGATTTTGCGAAGAGCCATTGCAGCTGCCATCTCTGTCTGTGTTGGCGGTTGGCAAAGTGAGTACTGGCCTCTGTCTCCGTGAGTTTAGTGGGTTGGTGGAGAGGTTCTATTTATAAAATGGAAAATAATAGAGTTACCGTAAAGAATTCGCACCGAATTTCTGACGTGGGGTAATCTTGATTGTCTATTAATTATCAAATTAATATTAATTGACGATTAAGAATATATTACCTCATTTAATGCATGAATTTGGTTTGCATTCTTCGATCATTACCTTATAAAATTGCGGAACTGCAAATCGAGCACAAGTTTGTTTGTGGTGTGACGTCACATCGACCAACTCGGTTCAACGCCATCGTTTTCCATCCACGGCTTTTCTTTATTCACCAACTTTTGGTAGTGGGTTAGGTTAGGTGTTTGGTCTGGATCGAAAGCCCAATGGATTTAAGGAGTACATGTTTAAATTAGCCCACGAACTCTGGTCTGAATAAACATAATCTTTCTAATAATTGGTAAGTTTATCTAATTCATTAAATAGATAGTGAAAATTTCATGTACATTTACATATTCTCCAACAAGAAGCTTCCAAATCTTTCCGGTGATTCAGAAACAAATCAACTGGGAGCTTCTAAGTTGCAAACTGTTATGAATATATTACTAAATTACTAACATACAAAGACATTCAACACTCTCCAATCTTGAGGAGAATCCACTCTGGTCTCATCACCTGGCCTTCACAGTGCTTTTATCCGCATCAAATGCTGACAAAGTGGAGGCGTCAGTATCTATACTGTTGAAGCACTGGAGCCCTTGTTCTTGCAGACAAAGTGTGCCCAAAACAACACTCACGTAATTGAATCATCAATACCCACAAATCAACGTTGAACCAAACCCATAATTGGCCGACTGGCTAAAGCGCGCACATTGGAGTACTACATTATAATATAAAATGATCACTATTCAGAAAATAAAACTCCACAGATTACAACAAGCAAACTATCTTTTCTCTCTAAGCTTTACGAACATCTCTCTGGATGGAAACTATGGAGACAGAATCACCAACAGAAAATATCACAAGAGAAGATCCTGCAACAAACAAAAATTTCACAGGAGATGATCCCGTATTAGACTTAGAAGAACTCTCTCCAGCAGAGGAAGTAAGGTTAACCGCACCCGTTATAGACGACCCCACACTCCCAGTATGGACCTTTCGTATGAGGTTTCTTGGTCTCTTATCATGCGCAGTTCTTTCATTCCTCAACCAATTCTTTTCTTATCGTAAGGAGCCTCTGGTAATCACCCAGATCACCGTCCAGGTAGCATCTCTCCCCATCGGACGGTTCTTGGCCTCTGTTCTTCCCACCACTAGTTTTCATATTCCAGGATTTGGGTCTAGAGAGTTCTCTCTTAACTCTGGACCGTTTAACATGAAGGAGCATGTGTTGATTACGATATTTGCAAATGCTGGGAGTGCTTTCGGGAATGGTTCAGCGTATGCTGTTGGTATTGTCAATATTATCAAGGCTTTTTATATAAAGAATATCTCTTTCCACACTGCTTGGCTTCTTATCATTACTACTCAGGTCTTCTTCTACCCCTCTGAAGATTTATGTACATTATCTAGTAGTAAGAAGGGTTCAAAAAATAAAATAATTTTTTTTTGTATGTACATGAAGATTTTTGCAAAGTCGGGTCTTTTGGGTTCGACTACAACAAGGACAGTAGTTCCTCACTTTTTAGACTTTCATGTTCGGTTTCTTAGCGAAATGTATTTTTACAGTTTTTTTTTTTCTTTCCTTAGAAAAAAACGATACTTTCTTGATCGTTGCTCTAATGACATATTTTGCAATTGGATTATAGTTCTAAAGTTGGATTCGAAGGTTGTGTGTGGTGGCTGGTGACATGATGAGTGCAGGTTTTGGGGTATGGCTGGGCGGGGCTACTAAGGAAGTACGTGGTGGAGCCGGCGCATATGTGGTGGCCTAGTACTCTTGTTCAGATCTCTCTATTCCGGTACTCTTTTAAATTTTGCGTCTTCAATGTGATTTCTCCGCACTGAGCATTAGTTTAAAGATAATCTAGTCTTTGTTTAGCTTTCTCTTGTGAACATCAATAAAAAATTAATCAACCCATAAAAAGTCTTAATCACACCATCGATTCATTGTAAGTTTACCAACCAAGACAAATCCTGAAGGAATGTAAGGTTAGTCGCTCCGCAAATATTATGATCAACACTCTGTCTTTTCAATATTATTTCTTAATTAATTACTCTTCGTTTTTTTCCGGAGGATGTGATTTTCAAGGGTCAGGACGGACTCATCTTTTCTGTTCTGTTCTGCTCGGGTTTTTGATTGAGTCAAACTATTACTTTTATTTTTAACAATGCAATTGTATAATAATTATTTTTTCAATTAAATATCACGTCGTTTTCTAGGGGTTAAGTTCATTTTATCATCTTGGAAAAGTCTTTACATGTTCTGAGACCCAATATGGCTATATATAATACCAATGAATTTCTCATAGGGTGCTTGTCTTTAACATTACATTGGGATCAAGGTGAGCCAATCATCTATAATGGAGCAGGGATACAGAGTGCTAGCTGCTAGCTGGTCATGCGATAAATTAGCAATTTGTAGATACTGATTATGATAAAGAATCTCGTATCAGATCAAGCTTCAACCAAGTTTTTGTGCCCTAGCCTATCCTTGCTTCCAGTTAATGACTAGTTAGTCATCTTAACAGGCAAATGATATTGACTTGAGAAAGCAACCCAAGTATCCCAAAGCGTACGTAGAAGGCAGGCCATATCTCTTTCAGAATTTGGACCTAACCAAGCTCATTCTTTTCCAATTTTCTAAGCTTTAGCCAATGGCCCAATGCAATTTAATTATTTACGATGACCACTAATTAAGTATAGATGAAGTCTTTTAGTCTTCAAAGAAAACGGCAAGAGAAGGAAAACACATCTGTTTTAGATGCATACATTTGTTGTAAGACAGTCTTAATATTAGTGCCTATCATTGTGGAAAAAGCTATTAATGCAGAAACAGTATATTTAATTCTATTAGTACCTTTCCCATGTGATATTTTGCTGCGTATCTTTTGTCCTATGTGTGCATTTTTTTTAATCGTCAGAAGTGTCTGGGTCAGTTAATTATGTATATCTCAACTAATCTCTCGGGATCCTAAAATCACCGATCGGGTATGAACTCTAGTACCATCCCTATTAGCAATCGTGAGGATTTGAACTCAGAAAACCATGTTAGATCTCCCTTTTACTCTTTTACTCTAAAAAAGACTCGAACTTAGAAGACTATATTAGATTATATGTGCATTGTTGAGCACCAATTCCTTCCTTTTTCCACTGAAGCAGTTTATAGCATTTATGTTACAACTTATTTTTGCAAATTCAATTCTAGTTTATATGTTGGGTCCCCCTGTTCCTTGTCTCATTCTGGTTTCGGAAATTTATTAAGATACAAACCAGTGCTCCATTAATTATCCAGAAAGCTTGCGGCTCCTTTAAATTTTATGGACCAATTAGATGAAGTGCCATTATAGTAAAAGATAAACGAAGTAAATGAGTAAAGAAAAGGAGCAATGGAGGAGATAACTCTCTTTTGAGGGCTGACTCAAGCCACATCTTTTTGAGTGTTACACAATTTCTTTAGAGCAATGTTAGTTTTACAAAGACACATACAAAGAGAGTATACAAAGACAATTCATACCCTTGATTTTCATAATTTCTCTTTCTCTCTTTTTTCGTTTTTTCTTTATTTTTTTCTTCTGGATGATGTCACTTTGTAACCCTCTTTGTATGCGTCTTTGTAAGGATAACATTTTTCATTTCTTTATTTGTGCTTGTAACATGCATGAGAAAGCTCATAATTTATATAGCTTTTGAAACTTGTCTTTTGTTTTCTGGTGTATTCCCACCAGACAACATGATATGCATATGCGTAATAAAGTAATGTTTCATTGAACTTTCAGGGCATTGCATGAAAAAAGAAGTAGATGATCGGAAGCATGGTATATCACGAGTGAAATTCTTTGTGATAGCACTAATTTGTAGTTTCTGCTGGTACTTGTTCCCTGGGTACTTGTTCCAATCCTTGCAAAGCATCTCATGGGTCTGTTGGGCTTTCCCCAAATCTGTCACTGCCCACCAAATTGGGTCGGGCCTAAATGGTCTAGGGATTGGAGCCTTTACTCTGGACTGGACAGCGGTCGCTTCATTCTTGTTCAGCCCTCTGATATGTCCCTTTTTCGCCATTGTCAATGTCTTCGTAGGATACGTACTGATAGTATACATAGTAATTCCCGCAGATTATTGGGGGCTAAATTTATACAGTGCTAAAACTTTCCCCCTATTTTCATCAGAGTTGTACACTGCTCAAGGTCCAGAGTACAATATTACATTGATCGTTAATAAGAATTTTGAGTTGGATGAGGCATCATATAAGCAGCTTAGGAGGATTCATTTGAGTACATTCTTTGCTCTCACCTACGGCTTTGGCTTTGCCACTATTGCATCTACGCTTTCTCATGTGGCCTTATTCTATGGAAGGTAATGTTTGATTTATTATGTGTTGCACACGTACATTTGTGTTCCTAACTAATAAATAATTGGCATTAATTTATTGGGATAACCTAGGGATCGATCATATAGGAATTATTGGGACTCTTCACTTCATTTATGTACGTACATGAAATTCTGTAACGTCGCAGGGAGATTTACGATCGATCCAGAGCTTCAACAACGAGAAGGCAGGATATTCACACGAGATTGATGCAAAGATACCGAGGCCTACCTTTATGGTGGTTTTATGCGCTTCTTGGTGTGACGGTGGCAATCTCCCTCGCACTCTTCACCTCCCTGAGAAAGGAGGTCCAGATGCCATGGTGGGGAGTAATCTTCGCAGCTGGCCTCGCCTTCATATTCACCCTTCCAGTCAGCATCATTACAGCCACAACAAATCAAGTAACCTTACAACTCTAATTTCTCTTTGTCGTGTTGAATAAAGATGAAGGCCGCCTAGAATAATTTTTAACTAAAACATATAATATGGTATAAACTTGTCAGTTCGTCTTTTTGTTTAAACTAATAATAATAATAATAACGATTTCTGTATGGTACAGACACCGGGATTGAATATCATAACGGAGTATATTATGGGAGTAATACAACCAGGGAAACCCATAACCAATGTCTGCTTCAAGACCTATGGGTATATGAGCATGACTCAGGCAATCGCTTTTCTTTGTGACTTCAAGTTGGGTCATTACATGAAGATCCCTCCAAGATCAATGTTCCTAGTTCAGGTATGTTCTCTACTCTTTATAAATTAATCCCATGCTCATCTTTCTGAAAATGCAATTAATGATCTATTATTCTCACATGCATCATTAATTGTTTTGTCTACTAGATTAACCGTGCTATGTGTTTAAGAAGTTCCATAAGAAATTCACTAATTAATGAATTAAGCGTAATGCCTTTCCTAATTGTACCTTTTGGCGTCTAATTTCAGTTGATAGGAACCATCTTAGTTGGAACAATCAATCTGGGAGTAGCATGGTGGCTTTTAGACTCTGTTGATCACATATGTCAAAAAGGTCTGCTCCCACAAAATAGCCCTGGACATGTCCCAATGACCGTGTGTTCTTTGATGCACCTGTTATCTGGGGCTTGGTTGGACCTAAGCGAATTTTTGGTTCTCAAGGAAACTACGGTGCTCTGAATGGTTCTTCCTGGGAGGATTTTTGGGGCCAATTGTTGTATGGCTATTACACAGGGCATTCCCTAAACAACACTGGATTCCCCTTATCAATCTCCCGGTACTCCTCGGCGCAACTGCTTACATGCCACCTGCAACAGCTTTGAATTACAACTCATGGATTGTGGTCGGAACAATCTTCAACTTTTTCATCTTCAGGTATCGAAAGAGATGGTGGCAGAGGTATAACTACATTCTATCAGCGGCACTGGATGCTGGAACGGCTTTCATGACAGTTCTTCTTTACATCTCACTGGGTTTGGAGGACATAAACTTGCACTGGTGGGGCGCTAACCCAGCTATTGACCCCGAGCACTGTGACCTCGCAACTTGCCCCACCGCAAAGGGTGTATCAGTTGATGGCTGCCCAATATTTTAAGATTCCCTACATTAATCCCTTATTAATTAATATTGCTTGCACCTTATTATAATTATATGTTCTTAATCTTGAGGGGATGTGGCTTTATTGAATGGAGGTCAACAGGATTGCTATTTACTTCTCAAAAAAAAAAAAAAAAAAGGTAGAACAAAATTTTTAATTAAGAAGATAGTATATATATCACATTTTGAGGGGTATGAACAAATAATATTAACGGTTATGCATATAGAATGGTATTTAACATTGTTTCCCAGTATGACACTCAATTTTTTTTAAATCATTAAGGGTGTCCGGGTCAGACCTCAACTAATCTTTTGAGACTTTAAAATTGTCGGTCGGATAAATGCTCAAATTATTATCCATATTAGTGTTTAGGGATACTTAAACTCGTTAGCACATAAAACTTCTTTTTGTTCTTTTATCATTTGTATATTTACATTTATTTGTTAGTTCAATCTATGGAATTATATGATTTATCTATATTATTGATCTTAAATTAATTATGTAATTTAGGTTAAAATAAAAATGAACTGTGCTGCAAGTATCCTCACGCATTCAATAACAGTGATGACGTAAATTCATTAGTTAGATGAAATTTAGTCCTATATGTCTCTAAAACTTGTTCGTAGCAACATTCTCAACTCCAATCCCACGTCCTCCGCACTAAAAACCTCACCACTCCAAAACGGCACTACTGCTGTCACTCACAAATCACAATGCCCTCTCTCAAAACAGAAACCAACCCCCTAAACACATCAAAACCCTCACCAGAAGGACTTCAACCGATGGAAGAACACGACGGCATTTCTCCGATAGAAGAAGTCCGTCTAACGGTGTCAAATGTGGACGACCCCACCCTTCCCGTTTTCACTTTTCGCATGTGGCTCTTAGGCGTTGTCTCATGCGTCCTTCTTTCTTTCCTCAACACTTTCTTCGCATACCGTACGCAGCCTTTAATCATTTCCATGATCTCCGTCCAGGTGGCCAGTCTCCCAATCGGACGGTTCATGGCGAAAGTTCTTCCCGAAAAGAAGTTCAGGATTCCGGGATTCGGAGGGAGGGAGTGGACATTGAACCCAGGACCGTTTAACATGAAGGAGCACGTCTTGATATCTGTTTTTGCAAATGCCGGGTCAGCGTTTGGGGGTGGGGCGGCGTATGCTGTTAGTATTGTAAATGTCATAAAGGCATTTTATAATAGGAACATCAGTTTCTTGGCTAGTTGGATTCTTGTTATTACTACACAGGTTAGTGTTTGTAATTTATTAATTTGGTTTTAGTAATATCTGATTGTTGTGTATTGATGTTGTTGTTAATGTTTGTGAATAGGTTTTGGGGTATGGTTGGGCAGGAGTATTAAGGAAGTTCGTGGTGGACCCGCCGGAGATGTGGTGGCCGAGTAGTCTAGTTCAGGTTTCTCTCTTCAGGTAAATTGTATATGCCTTTTTCGAAAACCGCATCGTTTTGATGCATTTATGAAATAAAATATCCCTTTCATGATCTTAATGTACGATAGCAGTAGAAGGTTTTTAAAGAAATCTTTCCCTAATAAGAAAAAAGTTACATCTTAAGCTGCAAGTGTTCTTTGATATTTGTTGACTCAACACATATTTAGAATAAAAAGTCTGAAATATTAATCTTAATTTACAACAAAAATATTTGAAATATTACTTTTAATTAATGATTGTTGTCTGCAATTGCGTGATTACCATTGTAAAACATATTTGCTTGAATTTTACACAACAGGGCTCTTCATGAGAAAGATGACAAACGTATGTCACGAGGCAAATTTTTCGTGATTGCGCTTATTTGCAGCTTCTCCTGGTATCTATTCCCAGGCTACCTTTTCCCCACATTGTCTAGCATTTCTTGGGTGTGTTGGGCTTTCCCAAATTCAGTAACAGCCCAGCAATTAGGGTCAGGCATGCGAGGACTTGGTCTTGGTTCCTTCGCCCTTGATTGGTCAGTGGTAGCCTCATACCTTAACAGCCCACTTATCACCCCTTTCTTTGTCATTGTCAATGTCTTTATTGGGTATTGCGTTGTTTTATTACTTATCATACCAATTGCCTATTGGGGATTCAATGTATACGATGCCAAGAAATTTCCTATCTTCTCCTCACATATATTCAATTCAAAAGGCCAAATATACAACGTATCGGCCATTGTTAACGACAAGTTTGAATTAGATATCCCATCATATGAGAGAGAGGGACGCCTACACCTCAGCATCTTCTTTTCTCTTTCATATGGCATTGGTTTCGCTGCTATTATATCATCCCTCACACATGTGGCATTGTTTAATGGAAGGTAAGCTATTAATTAATTAGAAAGTTTAAATTTGTTCACTTCTTTGGAAGTATATAATACGAATATCATTATATCAATTTGTTTTGACAGGAAGATATATCAACAAATTCGAGCTTCTTCAACGGGAAAACAGGATATTCACACAAGGCTGATGATGAAATACGAGCCCACTCCAAGCTGGTGGTTTCATTCCATGCTTGTAGGGTCGCTAGTACTTTCTCTAGTATTATGCATTTTCATGAAAGATGAGATCCAAATGCCCTGGTGGGGACTTATTTTTGCATCAGCCCTTGCATTGCTTTTCACACTGCCAATCAGCATCATAACTGCCACAACCAATATGGTAAAAGTTTTTTCTCCCCTTACGACTATGTTGTGCAACACTGCAGGATATTCACGATATAAACTGTTTTTAATTAATTGTATATTTGTATGGCTGTAAATACTGTTTTCACTATGGAAATAGGAGTGTATTAGATTAACCCTTGAATTTATCTTCTGATTTTCTAAAATTTAAATATCAGGGAAATTGAATTTGTGGTACTTGTTTACTGAACTTTAGAAATTCTTACTAAAATATTTTGTTTATTAATGTTTGCTTTCTTTGCCAGACACCAGGATTAAACGTTATCACTGAGTACGTGATGGGTATCATCTATCCAGGTAGACCAATAGCCAATGTCTGCTTCAAGACTTATGGATATATAAGCATGGGCCAGGCAGTTTCCTTCCTCAATGATTTTAAGCTAGGCCATTACATGAAGATTCCCACAAGGGCGATGTTTATTGTTCAGGTATATTTTATCAAAGAGGTTTTTTTCTAGAAAATGAGCGTATGCATGCAAAATATTAAAAAATGGAATGTTCAATATCTTAACCCTTGGTTTGATGATTTTGTTTATCCTCTACTCTCAAAGCTTGTAGGAACTATAATCGCGGGAACAGTGAATATTGGAGTGGCATGGTGGCTGCTGACAACCGTAGAGAATATATGTCAGGATCAATTCCTGTCTCCTAATAGTCCCTGGACATGTCCAGGAGACCGTGTATTTTTTGATGCATCAGTCATTTGGGGTCTGGTTGGACCAAAACGTATCTTTGGCAAGTCGGGAAACTACTCAGCTCTCAACTGGTTCTTCCTAGGAGGTGCGTTGGGACCTGTGATTGTATGGATGCTACACAGAGCATTCCCTAATCAGAAATGGATTCCATTGATTAATCTTCCGGTGCTTTTGGGAGCAACAGCTGCAATGCCACCAGCTACAACTCTCAACTTCAACTGCTGGATGATAGTTGGAACCATATTTAATCATTTTATTTTCAAGTATCGAAAAGGTTGGTGGCAGAGATACAATTATGTTCTTTCAGCGGCTTTAGATGCAGGGTTGGCTTTCATGGGGGTTCTTTTATACTTCACGCTAACCATGGAGAACAGAAGCATAACCTGGTGGGGATCAGAAGGTGAGCATTGTGAATTGGCTACATGCCCAACTGCTAAAGGTATAGTTGTTGAGGGTTGTCCGGTTCTGTATTAAACTACTTTAGTTGTTTAATTAGTGTGGGGTTTGTAATTTGTATATCTGTCTTTAAGATCGAAGTACCTTTATCTTTTGGATTTCCAAACAATTAGTTAAAACTGCTGTTATTCAATTTATGATGAAGTAAATACCATGCATATGGAATCAACGGGATGAGAATGGGAGAAGATTTCATTTTCGGATGTCACTTGAAACTCACAGCCCACAGCGAATCATACTCAGCTTTGGTACACTCAGACAATATTTGATTAAATACTATACAAAATATAACACACCAAATTAACATGATAATAAATAACTTCTTGTTACACTTATACGAAACAAACTATTATTTCACTTTTTAATTAAATTTTTTTTTTTTTTTTTGGTATGGGTCAAAAATAGTATTTATCTTAATGAGATCCAACCGTGAAACACACTGAATACGGCCCAGTGCCTTAACCTAATTTTGGTTGGGCGAATGCTTGAATATTCCTTGTGGATTGACCATTCCGTGAGTTATGCTTTCTTACAAGTTAAGCTAAATCGAGTTACAGCCTACTAGTCCACATTCGTTCCAAAATAGGAATCAAAATTATATTTACTTTTCACTTCAGTCAAGATCCAAGATCTTACTCAAATTGATAGTCCTAATCTGATAAAGACAAGTGACAAGACTTCATTCCTAATGTGAACCAAGTAGGATTTAGTATTCTACTAGGACTAAGCTCCCTTGAACTCCTATATAAACAAATGTTAAGCCTCTTATTATTCATTTAAAAATCACTCATAGGTTTAGGAACTAAATTCTTCCTCCTAAGAATCTCCATTTTTCTCGCCGTAAAATTTAGTTTTGACTAACTTTACCACCTTCAGCCACCTCAAAGCTGTGCTCCAGCCACTTTGTGTTAGTCTAGCCTTATGATAAACTCTTTTCTGCTCTCAATCCTCATTAAAATACCTTCAACCGTATTGACTTGAACATCAAATACCTTCAATCGTGCTAATTTGAGTGTTGACGGAGTGCCTATGGTTGACACCACACCGGTGTCACTCAAGCCTTCACGTTTGTTCTTTCTTTTTGTGCAGGTCAATTCGATCGTCAATGACTCGATCGCTTCTCAGTTCTCACAAGATCTGTCCCTTTCAAATCAATCATAGATTTTATCTTCTACAATTTTTTTAAACCTCTCTATCTGTTAGTGAGATTTAAATCATTAGAACCCTCCTAAATCACGTGTAAATGATGAGATAATATAAATTAATTAGTAATATAATACCTACGATTTAAACCGATGTTAATTCACTAACAAATCTTGAGATTTTAATTAAACTCTATTATAGGAATAAAATGAGTCAGATAACAAGAAAAGCAATTTAAATTGCTCAAAAATAATAAATAAATTTACTTCATTTGGATCTAATGGAGCATTATATTGTATACTCTTGATACTGGAGTAAGTGTTAATCACACAACCAACCATAATTAGTACTTAGTGAAAACAAAAGTTTAACAACAAAACTAACACAACTGCGCCCTCATCTGTCCTAATTTTGCTCTTAAATAAAATAGTATATTCTTCTCCATCTTTATATACTGGATTTATAACGCAACAGAGACTGTTTCTTGCATAACAACCCAATAAAGCCATAGGCCGAATAGAAATTTATTGGCTAATTTTAATATGACGTGATTATGTTTGTTGGTTAGATGACTTGGTGTACGATATGCTGTAAACTTTTATATCGCTATAAAATCCTATCCACTCCAATACGGCAGTGTCACTCACCCGCCATGAGAGGTGAAACGGTGGAGGATGAATACGACGAAGTCTCTCCGATAGAAGAAGTCCGTCTAACGGTGTCAACAAAGGACGACCCATATCTGCCCGCATGGACTTTTCGCGTGTGGTCCTTAGGCCTTCCATTTTGCCTTCTTCTTTCTTTCTTAAACACTTTCTTCGCATTTCGTACGCAGCCTCTAGTCATTTCCATGATTCCCGTCCAGGTGGTAACTCTCCCATTGGGACGCTTCATGGAAAAAGTTCTTCCCAAAAAGACGTTCAGGATTCCGGGATTCGGTAACGAGGAGTTTACGTTGAACCCGGGGCCGTTCAACATGAAGGAGCACGTCTTGATTTCTGTTTTTGCCAATGCCGGGGCAGGGTTCGGTGCCGGGGCAGCTTATGCTGTTAGTATTGTCACTATTATAAAGGCCTTATATCGTCGCCATATCTGTTTCTTGGCGAGTTGGATTCTTGTTATTACTACTCAGGTTGGTGTGATTTCACTGAATTTTTATTAGTTTCAGTTATATCTGATTATTGTATAAGTATATTAACATTATGGTAATCAATGCGGGTGAATAGATTTTGGGGTATGGTTGGGCCGGAGCATTGAGGAAGTACGTAGTGGACCCGGGGGAGATGTGGTGGCCCAGTAGTCTAGTTCAGGTTTCTCTCTTCAGGTAATGCCTTCTGCCAAACCATGTCGTTTTTGTATGAAAATATGGAACCTGATAAACAAAAACTCCATTTCCTTGTCAAGAAGTAGCTAATTATGTAATAATTAATGTTTATCTGCATACAGGGCTCTTCATGAGATCGATGACAATCGTATGTCACGAGGCAAATTTTTCTTGATTGCACTTACATGCAGCTTCTGCTGGTATGCAATCCCGGGCTACATATTCCCCACTTTGTCAACCATTTCTTGGGTGTGCTGGGTTTTCCCAAATTCAACATTGGCCCAACAATTGGGCTCAGGCATGCATGGACTTGGTCTTGGGGCTTTTTCCCTCGACTGGTCAGTCATGGACTCATACCTTGGCAGCCCACTAATCACCCCCTTCTTCGCCATTGTCAATGTCTTTGTGGGCTTTTTCCTGGTGATGTATGTTGTGACGCCCATTGCCTACTGGGGATTCAATCTATTTGATGCCAAGACGTTTCCGTTCTTTTCCTCGCACATGTTCAATGAAGTAGGCCAAATATATAACGTCTCAGCCATTGTTAACAGCGATTTTGAATTAGATATCCCTGCATATGAGCGTCAGGGACGCATATACATTAGCATGTTATTTGCTCTTTCGTATGGAATTGGTTTCGCGGCTATTATATCTACACTCACCCATGTGGCATTCTTCAATGGAAGGTAACAACTAACGAACTTGGAATTTAATTGTTGGTTATTTTTATTATTGTTAGGATAAGACATAAAATTTATTCTGACAGGGATATATATGAACGATTCCAAGATTCTACACAACGAAAGGAAGATATTCATACCAAGTTAATGATGAAGTACGAGCCCATACCAAACTGGTGGTTTCATTCGTTGCTTGTAGTATCACTGATACTCTCTCTCCTGCTATGCACTCTCATGGAAGGTGATATTCAATTGCCATGGTGGGGATTCGTCTTTGCAACAGGCCTTGCTTTAATTTTCACCCTTCCAATCAGCATCATAACTGCCACAACCAATGTGGTAAATATTTCGACTCTTGACTTCAAAGTTTTTCCTCTGAAGTAATTTTTTCCGACATTCAATTTATACTCTAAATTCTCAAACCTAAGTATAGAAGGAATTTCATTTTCTGGTTGTTACTGAAAATTGAGATACTCCACTCACCGACACATCCTTTTTTATTTGGGTTGCTTTTGTTGGCAGTCACCAGGGTTAAACATTCTTACAGAGTACCTCATGGGTATTATCTATCCAGGTCGACCAATAGCCAATGTCTGCTTCAAGACTTATGCATATATAAGCATGGGTCAGGCAATTTCCTTTCTTAGTGATTTGAAGCTAGGCCATTACATGAAGATTCCCAAAAAAGCAATGTTTGTCGTTCAGGTATATATTCCTATGGTCATGAAGATGTTCATTTTCATGAATTTCAACCTACTTAATATAATTTATAGCAACTGAAAAATGAGCTCCTTACTCCCCTTTAACTTCTTTATAAATCAATGTTCAATAGTATATTAGCTCCTTCCGTCGTATGACGATTTTGTATTTTAATTGATCACAAAGCTTTTAGGAACTATAATTGCGGGATCCGTCAACATTATAGTGGCATGGTATCTGCTGACAACCGTGGAGAACATATGTCAGGATCAACTACTTCCTCCGAATAGTCCTTGGACATGTCCTGGAGAAAGAATATTTTTTGATGCATCTGTTATCTGGGGTTTGGTTGGACCAAATCGTATCTTTGGCAGCGATGGAAACTACCCAGCTCTCAACTGGTTCTTCCTTGGAGGTGCTTTAGCTCCTGTCATTGTTTGGCTGCTGCACAAAGCATTCCCTCAGCACCGATGGATTGCATTTATTCACATTCCAGTTCTTTTGGGTGCAACACATGCACTCCCTCCTGCTACAACTCTCAACTTCAACACCTGGATAACGGTTGGAACCATATTCAATTACTTCATTTTTAGGTATCAAAAGGTTATGTGGCAGAGATACAATTATGTTCTTTCAGCGGCCTTAGATGCTGGGTTGGCTTTCATGGGGGTTCTTTTGTACTTCACAGTAGCCACAGAAAACAGAAGCATAAACTGGTGGGGATCACAAGGTGAGCACTGTGACTTGGCTACATGCCCAACTACAGAAGGCGTGGCTGTTGATGGCTGTCCAGTGTTGTACTAAATATCACTTTCTATATCTTGATTAACATACTTTAGCTGGAAAACATCATATAAGTTGTGGAGACAAAAGAAAGGCAAGATTTTGTCATTGGTATATCTCATGGCGCTTAATTTTATCTATCTATTATATGAATATGTGTGATTGATCAAATACTGATAAACATGTAATTTTGTTACTACTATATTCTCTGTTTACCTATTGTATATAAAGTTTATACTGGCCAACTTTATGAAAGATGGAAATTTTGATTAATTTTCAATCGATACCAATTACAAGTGATAGTGTCAGTCAATTTCATGGGATAAAATTCTTTATCAGATGTCACTTGCTCATGACCACCACAGTAATTATACACACGGCACATTTATAGGATTAGACTCTGCTTCCGCTCGAGGTGGCCCGCCAGATGCCTTTGTACAGACTGGCTGATGTTTGAACCTTTGAGCTATGACGGGTTGAAAATAATATGACATATATATAGATTGGCCCAGTTGAAATGAAACTTGATCTTCCATAATTACTCAAAATCTTCATGTAGATGATCATTTATAGAACGTTATAAATCAACATGTTAACCTACTGCAGTTTTGTACGAAATAAGGAAACATGGCTAAATAAAAAATATTTCGAAGGGGTTGAAAAAGTAAAATTAAAAACTTTTGAAATACTTGTCAAATATGTATAAATATATCTTTAAAAAAATGATTCAGGATCATACAGCGCTCCTAGGTTAGACCAAGGAAAACGAGATCATAAACGTGTATAGTGCTCAATTCCTTTTCAGAATATCAAATTCATCAAAAAAAAAAAAAGGTTCTTTTGTATTCCCTTTATAATTGTCAAAGTATAAGGATGTAAACACCAGCAATATAAAAGTAACTCCCCATCAAAGTAACAATATTGTCATTTATCTCCAACTAATTTCGATGGAGCAGCATATCTAGAAGAAAATCCCCTCGACAAAGACTCCACATTATCATCATCCCAACACCCCTCATCAAAGTTTTGAGAATAGCTTAAAGGGTCATACCTAAAACCACCAGCTGGTTTTGGTCGTCGCTTGTTCCTGAAAGTTGCTGCTATATTACAACCGACACTTGACTGCCTTCTTCTTGTATCTGTATCCCATGTCCTTCTCTTTGTCCATGGAAGCTTCAACTTGAGCCGTCTCCAGCATGATAGCAACCCCACTCGGTCTGTGTTGTGAGGAGGTGAATTAGTTCTCTCCATGAGTAGTACTCCAACTTGTTCAAGATAATTACCTTTTAATTGGGTTACAGTTGTGGGGTCTGTTCTCTGTTCAATCTTTCCAGTGTGTGGCAGAGAGAAGATAGCAAGAGTTGATAGGTGTGGAGCAAGTTCTTTTTGTTTTTAAGGAGAGAAATGTAAAAAGAATAAAAGGAAACATGAGAGGGTCAAAGGAGCAAATATTTGTCATCTGGATTGATTTTGGTTTGCCATATATATAATATGTAGATACTACAGGGAAAATCACTAATTGATCAAGTTGAACGCATGATATAATACATACCTAAGTTCTAACAGAGAAATATGTGTAGTTGTTACATTCAAAAAGGTGGAAAAGAAAAAAGAGTTACTGAACTGAATATAAATATTCATAGTTCATGTTAAATATAAAAAGTCGGTCTGAATCAAACATGAATTTATAAAATAAATGTATGGAACTAAAAGTATGTCATGGTAGGTACCAATTTTGCTAAACTTTACAATAGCTAGATACAATATTATCATTAAAATAATGTTTGGCCAGAATCTAACTACATATATGAACTACCAAAAGATGTAAGGTACAAAAACAAGATAATATTTTCACCCACGTAGATGTCATAAGAGGGCAAAACTAGTTACAATGCCTACCACGACAAGGATCTTGGAGTCATGATGAAAAATAAAAAAATTAGAAAGGTGTCTACCAAGGTTTTATTTATTTATTTTGCTTCTTAAAATTATTGTTATTTAAAATTAAGATAGAAAATCTAATGGAGGCATTCCTTTTGTAACAAAAAGAAGAATACAAGGGAGAGTATCATGAATGATCCCATCAAATCCAACTTCCGCTTAGTTGTCTTCTGAACAGTCATGGTGTGTAAGTTGATAATCTTATTTCCAAAAACAACCCTTTAATNGGGTTGAAAAAGTAAAATTAAAAACTTTTGAAATACTTGTCAAATGTGTATAAATATATCTTTAAAAAAATGATTCAGGATTATACAGAGCTCCTAGGTTAGACCAAGGAAAACGAGATCATAAACGTGTATAGTGCTCAATTCCTTTTCAGAATATCAAATTCATCAAAAAAAAAAAAAAAAAAAAGGTTCTTTTGTGTTCCCTTTATAATTGTCAAAGTATAAGGATGTAAACACCAGCAATATAAAAGTAACTCCCCATCAAAGTAACAATATTGTCATTTATCTCCAACTAATTTCGATGGAGCAGCATATCTAGAAGAAAATCCCCTCGACAAAGACTCCACATTATCATCATCCCAACACCCCTCATCAAAGTTTTGAGAATAGCTTAAAGGGTCATACCTAAAACCACCAGCTGGTTTTGGTCGTCGCTTGTTCCTGAAAGTTGCTGCTATATTACAACCGACACTTGACTGCCTTCTTCTTGTATCTGTATCCCATGTCCTTCTCTTTGTCCATGGAAGCTTCAACTTGAGCCGTCTCCAGCATGATAGCAACCCCACTCGGTCTGTGTTGTGAGGAGGTGAATTAGTTCTCTCCATGAGTAGTACTCCAACTTGTTCAAGATAATTACCTTTTAATTGGGTTACAGTTGTGGGGTCTGTTCTCTGTTCAATCTTTCCAGTGTGTGGCAGAGAGAAGATAGCAAGAGTTGATAGGTGTGGAGCAAGTTCTTTTTGTTTTTAAGGAGAGAAATGTAAAAAGAATAAAAGGAAACATGAGAGGGTCAAAGGAGCAAATATTTGTCATCTGGATTGATTTTGGTTTGCCATATATATAATATGTAGATACTACAGGGAAAATCACTAATTGATCAAGTTGAACGCATGATATAATACATACCTAAGTTCTAACAGAGAAATATGTGTAGTTGTTACATTCAAAAAGGTGGAAAAGAAAAAAGAGTTACTGAACTGAATATAAATATTCATAGTTCATGTTAAATATAAAAAGTCGGTCTGAATCAAACATGAATTTATAAAATAAATGTATGGAACTAAAAGTATGTCATGGTAGGTACCAATTTTGCTAAACTTTACAATAGCTAGATACAATATTATCATTAAAATAATGTTTGGCCAGAATCTAACTACATATATGAACTACCAAAAGATGTAAGGTACAAAAACAAGATAATATTTTCACCCACGTAGATGTCATAAGAGGGCAAAACTAGTTACAATGCCTACCACGACAAGGATCTTGGAGTCATGATGAAAAATAAAAAAATTAGAAAGGTGTCTACCAAGGTTTTATTTATTTATTTTGCTTCTTAAAATTATTGTTATTTAAAATTAAGATAGAAAATCTAATGGAGGCATTCCTTTTGTAACAAAAAGAAGAATACAAGGGAGAGTATCATGAATGATCCCATCAAATCCAACTTCCGCTTAGTTGTCTTCTGAACAGTCATGGTGTGTAAGTTGATAATCTTATTTCCAAAAACAACCCTTTAATCCAGGGGCTGGCAGATTTTAGGTTGTTAATTGGGGGATTATATCACTAATCATGGCAAAAATTCTTGAATTATACTGAATACGTGAATGAGATGTATTTGTTGTTTATTGTTTAAGAATTATTGAAAGCTAATAAATAAAAGGATATCCGTGTGCAAATCACTGATACCATTCAAAAACTTCACGTATTCATATGGTCCCCGTACTGTCGTATGGCGTTGATATCTTTCCTGACTCGAATTCATATGGCTGATAAAGTTCCCTTTTCGAATCTCATTCAACCTTTCACAAGGCACTTGTCACTTCATCATACACTCGTTTCTGCTAGTTTTTATTTATTTCTGGGGAAATTTTCAACATTCTATTTATGTTTCTATGGCTTTCATTGAGTAACATGATGTTATTCAGGGTTTTTTTTTTTTTTTTTTTTTTTTTTTAAAATGACCGTGGGTGTTCGACTAATCTTCCAAGACCCTGAAACTATCGGTCAAGTAAAAGCTCTAGTGATCACTCTTACTAGCAATTGTAAAGATTCAAACTCGAGAAATCATGTTAGATCTTCCTTTTATTCTTTTACCTTCAAGTGAACTCGAATTTGGGAGACCATTTTAGATTCTCCTCTTGTTCTTTTACCATCAAAGAGATTCAAACTTAAGAGATCATGTTAAATTCTCTTTTGCTTTTTTTACCATCAGATCATTCAATGATGATTTGTTTCGAGTTTTTTATACCACTAAATGCGTTTACCTCGTGACCAATCTTTTCTTTTACCTAAATATAACTTACTCTTAATTCAACGCTACATCAACATGAACTTTAAAAATGTTTGTAATACATCCATATAACAAAGATTCATACAATGTTTTAAAACCCAACCCGGGATGAAACCCAACAAAGTTTCCGGGTCCCAGGTTGAACCGGTTAACAAAAACTTTTAAAATTAAGCAAATACATCCCTAAAAATTACATGTAAGTCCTTATATATTTAAACTTTATCAAACACACCCCAAATGCAAATCGATCGGCGACTGATTGGCGGCGGCGACACCCCAGATGCAACCCCAATCATCCCTTGAGCCCATTTCCATTAAAATCTACCCAAGATCTGGCCGAAATAGGTTCGATTTCGGCCAGATCTGACTGACGCTGGCGTCGGCATTCCAGGCCAGATCTCATCCACGCCGGCGTCGAAAACCCTCCCCATCACCCAGGAATTACTACTCTCTTCCTCCCGACCAAAACCCACCTCACCCCACCCTCGTTAACCTCGTCAATCGCCGACAAAATCTCATTGTTACCGTTGCCAGATTTGTTCGATTTTCAATCGATTTACTCACCGGAAATCAACGCCGTCAACACCATTGCATTCACCGGCCCTTTATCTTCAAAAGCCCCATGATTTCAGCCGTCAATTGATCGCCGATCAGCCTCTCAAATCCTAGGGTTTTGGGTGAATAGAAAAAGCATAAACCCAGCCTATTGAAGCTTCCGGGTCCTGGTTCAACGAGTCAACCGACCAGGCCAGGTTTCAAAACATTGGATTCATATATGATAAAAACTTCCTTTCTTTTTGTTTATATTAATTTTTTATTTAGAAAAAGCATAAATCATTAAATAATTACCGTCTCATCTCATGGTGAAATTTGTAGACTACGCATATACCATACTACCCATTCCGACTAAACAATCTCAGGTCGTTCGAGGGAGCGGTAACGCAGGACATCTTGAAGAAAAGAAACCAATACAACACCCGGCCCACCGCCATGGAGAGACAATACAAAGAATGGATGTGATTTTGAGATGCCACAAATTACTTCAGCACAAATCATTCTTATATCCAAACCAACCAACAAAACCACTTGAAACAATAAAAGGCAAATTTCTTAAGTGTGATCAGCAACAGATCAGGATAGACATGCAAGTGTAGTGAATGTTCATCGGTACAAGTTACAACCCAAGTCCTAAGACTAAATAGAAAGGTTACATAGACTATCTGCCAAAAATGAACTTGAATTTTCACTCTTCAGAGAAAAGCTACGAAAAATAGAAAATAAACTAATACAAAATTATGTATATTGCCAACACAAAGCTACAGAAACTCCATACACAGATTACTAGTTACCAGCCAACTAAAAACGAAAGATGCTACTGACGGTAGGCTACATCTTGACTGCCACCTGTTCTGCTGAGCTTTTCTTCACAACTCCTTTGGAGCACAGTTGATTTAATAGCTCCAAAGCCTCCTTGGCTAAACCTTCATAAGCTATGCCTTCAATGAGAATGGTATATGTAGTTTCCGTGGGTTTACAACCCCTCATTACCATGTCCGCCAAGAAGTCAATTGCACGGTCTGTCTGCCGAGCCTTACAAAGTGATGACATTATATAATTGTAGGTAATTACATTAGGCCTGATGCTTAATCTATCCAGATCACGGAAAAGCTTAATTGCTTCATCAACCTTGCCTTCTCTACTAAGCCCACCAACAAGGGAAGAGTAGGTAATTGCATCAGGCTTGAGACCCTTTCCGCACATCTCATTCAAAAGTTTCATAGCTTGTTCTGTTTTCCCCACCTTTGAGAGCCCATCAATAACTGTGTTGTAAGTGATCAAAACGGGCGAACAAAACTTGGTACTAAGCTGGTTAAGTATCTCAACTGCAACATCAACCTTCCCATCTTTGCATAATGCAGTGAGGAGAGTATTATAGGTCACAATATCAGGGTAACAACCCCTGGACACCATAATTTCTAAATACTCAATAGCCCTTTCCATATTCTTTTCTTTGCAGAAACCATGGAGCAATGGGTTGTAACTTAAGGAATTTGGAGTACATCCATACTTATGCATCTTCTCCAATACATCAATTGCTCGACCCAATAAACGCTTTCGACACAAGAAATTAATCAATATATTGAATGTAACAACACTAGGAGAGCATCCATTCCGAACCATTTCAGCTAATAGTCTCTCTGCATCCATCCACCTACCAGTGCTACACATGCTACGTAAAATAATATTATGTGTAATCACATTAGGTTGGCATCCAAAAGATGGCATGTCATTCAAGAATTTGATTGCTTCATCCAACCTTCCTTCCTTACAAATTCCATTGACAAGAACATTGTAGGTAACCACATCAGGTTTGCATCCTCTACTCCTCATCTCATCAAAGAGCTTCATTGCCTGACCAACACCACTTTCCTTGCAAGTTGCTTCAATTAATATGGTATAAGTGATTACATCGGGAAAGCATTCCCTCTCCAACTGTCTATTAAGAACTTTCATGGCTAGACTCAACTTCCCACTATCACATAAGGTACGCAAAATAGTATTATATGTAACAACATCAGGAGCTACACTCATTCGATCCAAAAGACGAAAAGCATTATCAATCTCCCCTGACTTGCAATACCCACTAATCAAAACATTGTAAGTTATGACATCAGGAACAGCCCCAGAATCTTCTATAATCTCCATAACTCTAGTTGCCTTCCTAGTCTTACCAACCTTACAGAATCCACGAATTAAACTCGTGCAAGGGATTATATCAGGAATATCACCATGATAAACCATGCTTTCAAGAAACTTAAACCCTTCTTCTAATTCCCCATTTCTAACCAGCCGACGAAGATGATTATTACTCTCAAATTCCTCAAAATTATGAGAAGAATTCTCCTGACTCGAAGAAATATGACCATTGAACAGATGCCCATGTGGGGATTTCTGAACTTTTTTCAGTTTAGCATTAGAACTAAGTGTTTCATTCTTTGAAACAGCAAAAACCCGCGTTTGCTTTTGAAACCCTTGAGGTTTACGCTTTTTACAATCAAAACTATCAGCAGACTGAACAAGAAAGGGAGCCTTGTACCGCACATAAACTTTCTTAGAACTTAATTTGATACCAACTTTATAAGCGCCACGCCTAGCACTAAAAAAACTACAATTTCGTGTACTTTCTCCATGAAAATGTTGAAATGAGCAAAACCCTTCATGGACATGATTCGTAGGTACAATCAAATCCATACTTTCACCTACTTGTGAATAGAAAAAGATTAATGTTCAAACGTTCATGCTTTAAATAAAATGAGTACAGGTAAAAGGGCAATTTTCAAGTGAAGGGTTTAGCGAGGGTTTAGTAACAGAATAACAATAAATCTTCAAAAGGGTTATAGATGGTAAAAATAAATCCAGAGAGATAATGATGAAGCTTACTCTGAGAATGGTTTGGAGAGATGAAATGGAGAAGCTACAGACAAAGTAGTGCGGCCGTGTTGTTGCTTATCCAGTTTGTGACACTCTGGTTCTGGCTTTTGGAAATTTAAAGGTGGGGTGGAGGTCTAGAAAGTGGGAGCAGCAAGGAGCCCAACTGGACCAGATTAAGGCTGGGCTTGTACATCAAAACAGAATTCCTATAGTCCACCTCTTCGTGTGAACCGTGGGCCTTTCGGCTGCACTGACTTAAATCATTTAGAGTAACGACTTTTTCCCACCCAAATAATGGTCTAACGACACTTTCTCACCCAAAAAATTTCAAAATACAACTTTACTACTCACAAGCCACAGCACAGATCCATTAGTAAATTTCATTGTGAATAATCCAGGATGGTCAAAAGTTAGTTATAAGGAAGGGTAGGATAGTCAATTAACATCATGCATAAAAAATCAAAATCTTAATTGGCAGCGTTTGGTATACTTTTTATACTCTATTCTATTTTGTTATCCTATCTAATTCAATGAAAAATGTGTATATTTTAATATTGACTATTCAATTCAAAATTCAATCTTATCATATTCAACTCAAAACATTTAACAATTACCTTTCACAATAAAAGTTTATAAATTAACAAAAACATATCCACTCACCTAAGCCACTATCACCTGCCAGCAGCCACTGTCACCGCGGCCACCGAAACGACACACATTCTCAGAATTCTATCATAAAATGTATTCAGAATAGGATTTTAGAAATCCTATTAAAAAAAGTGTACCAAATGTAGCGTCTTCGCCTTCGTCTTCTCCTCTTCTTCTTCTTTTCTCTGCTTTTCTTTATTCTTCTTTCCCTCCTCTTTTCTTCCTTTCTTTATTCTTCTTCTTTTCTCTCCTTTTCTCTTCTTTTCTTTCTTTAATTTTTTTTTTTTCTCTTTTGCAAATTTGGCCAACCGCTTCTCCTTTTTCTTCTTTTTCTTTTCCCTCCCTTCTCCTCTCTTTTTCTTATTTCTTTGACATCTTAATTCTCACAGGTATAGTTGCATCAAATTACACTAGAACTTCCATTTTCCAGGACTACAAATAGGATTACACAAATTCAAACTTAAACTCTAACAATAACTTAAACCCTAACACTATCTGTACAAATATCAAAACCCAAAATGATAACTAAATACATTAATCAATTCCCATTTGCAAAATCTCTGAGAACTTCCATAATCCAATCAGTCTGCTCCTTAACCAAGTCAACTTTCTTAATCACAATCCTGGCTTTTTCAATCCCAATTGATTTCCACTTCTCATATGTTTCCAAAGACCTAGGAGTGGGTGAAATTTAAGTTAAGTGCAAAGCAAGGTTTTAAAACCTGGCCAAGGGTGAAACCTGACAAAATGGTCGAGTCCCAGGTTAACCGGTTGAATCGATTTGATCGATAGGTCAAACCGGTGATATCAGTATGTAAGAAAGTTTGAAATCCAATAAAAACACCCCTAAAATTCCCATAAGTCCCTATAGGTTTAAAATATTACAAAAACACCCCAAATTACATCGCCAACGTCGATAACCCAAGTCAAATATGGTCTTTTTTCAACGTCGACAACACCCTATCACAATCAAAACTCTCCTCCTAGCCTCTTGACCAAAACCCATCTCACCACACCCCCATTCGCCTCGCTAATCGCCGGCAACAGCTTGTTGTTGTTGCCTATTTATTTTTACTATTTTTGGTCGTTTCACTCACCGAAAATCACCTCTATTGCTACCTTTCCACTCACCGGCCCTTCCTTTTCAAAACCTCCAACATCCCATCCTTCAATTGTTCATCGATTGTCATCTTAATTTCTAGGGTTTTTGATGAATAGTAAAATTTGTAACTCGGCCCAATGAATGTCTTGGGTCTAGATTCCACCGACTGGGCCAAGCAGGTTTTAAAAAAACATTGGTGCCGAGTTGATAGAGTTGAAGGTTTAGAGATCAATGGTGATTTGAGAGGGTGGTGGGTTTGATTTGGTGAGTTTTTCAAGGGTTTTGAGAAGACAAATCTTGCTTGACTAGGTGACCAGGCGGCCACCGCCGTTTTGGGTGGTTGACGACGACAACAGTGTGATGTGCCTCATCTTAGATCTGGAAGGAATTGACATTGTTGTGTTAATGGGTGGGGTAAGGGAAGTGGGTGGTAAAGAGAGAAAAAATGGGAAGAGTGAAAAAAAAGGAAGAAAAGAAAAGAGAGGGGGACGAGAAAAAAGTGGCCAAGTGCGATTGAGAGAGGAAAGAAAAAGAAAGGAGAAAAAATTAGGGACAAATTTGTAATTTAATCTTAATAAAAAAAAATAAGTCAAACAATTAAGAGTATCTTCACCTTTACAACAAATATATGTTGTATTTAATGAAAATTACTAACAGATATGTGTTAAGGGTATACCTGGCAAAATGGGTCTGAACCCACGAGTTGGTCTGTACCCGAGTAAATAACGTAGGATACAAGTTAAATCTTGTGGACCCGTGAAAATTGGACCCGCACCCGACCCCCTCCGGTTTTTCTACGGGGGGGCCGAGTGTACCCGTTGGTACCCCGTATTTTGGGGAATAAATTCCAAGATAGAAAGAGATTGCTGGTGGAACCTCTGCCAAAATTCTTTCTTTCACTTACTAGCAAAGAGCCAAAGAATATTTCACTGCCTCATAGGTGTCTACCACTAATTAGCAACATGAAAACCGAATAAATAAATTAGTTTGCTGCTCTGTCTTGTTGAAGTACTATAAGAGACCCAAGAAACTGAAAAACTATGAGATACGAGGAATAATGATCGAATGATCAATGAAGATGGTTTCTGATTCTACATCGCCTATATATCTTCAAGTGAGATGATCTCCCGAGAATAAATTAAGCCGATGATAATCTTGGCTTGCTGGCAGTTTATGTACATATAACTTGATGGTTGGTTTTATGTTAGGAGTTATGAAGATCAAAATTGTGAAATAGTTTAAAAAGAATAAATTCTGTTTAGTTTTGTTGCACCTGCAGGCTGTAGTTACATCTTCATCAGTGCAGCTGTTGTTTTTTTATTTTTGATTCCACTTATAGACCGATTGTTTATATATCTTAATCTATGATTCAAATGGTGATTACTAAGATAATATTGTTTATTTGAATATTAATGGAAGAACAATAAGCTGGTCCTGGTATATGTAGTTTAATTGGCCTTTGTATTTGGTAGCTCCATTAGGAGACTTTAACTATTTGAATAAATGAATTTGTATACGTAACTATTCTTATTTGTTTCTTTAGATATTGAAGTTCATCTTTTCTATATGTTTTCTGGTCTTAAATTAATGAGAAATTGAGTTGGTTGTGAACTTTTGTGGTGAATTAAATTGAATTTAGAGTAGTTAATTATGGGGGTAAAATGAAATCTGTAGGAATTTTGAAAACTGCTGGAATTTTGGGGATGTAATTGTCATAATTTTGAAACTGCTATGAACAATACAGATACCTGCAGGTCCACTCGTATGCGCATAGGGTAGGTGCAGGTCCAATATTTTAGACCCTTTAAAGCGATCCGTTTAGGTCCATACCCATGAGACTTGCACCCATTTGGACCTGACCTGTACCTGACCCACATGCCCATTTTGTCAAGTCTAGTTGAGGAAAAAGTTGTATACTCTTATTTAAATTATCATCAAACATATCTAAAATTTTACAAGCCCTTATAGATCAAAAAGTTAAAATTCTTAATACATTACAACTTTAAACACAATAAATGTGTTGATGCTCGATTTTGACACCAACTATTCACACGTGAGAAATGCTAAGCGGGCTTAGAAGTCACACGCGATATGAGAATATTTAGTTAAATAAAAGAGTGAAAGGCAATGTTTAAAGTGGTTCGGACGCTCAAAAGTGAATCCTACGTCTACTGATATTGTATTAATGAGAGTAAGGTCAGGTCGCATTCAGCGAGCTGAGTTACAGCTTAGAGAATACAAGAGACAGAGAGAGTAAGTTGTTCTAGAGTGAAATCAGTCAATCCCGCAAATGAGAAAGGAGTCCTCTATTTATAGTGGGATGAATCAAGGTAATGATTACTAAATCTGTGAGTGGGTGGGTACAGTGCAAATCATTCTCTGCGTCCCATTGTTCACCTGCCCAAGTGATTTCCTCGACTTGTGCAGCGATTGGACACATGGACAATTTCCAACCATCTGCTAACCTGGCATTCACCCACTGCACTGACAGGGGCATGCCACTCACGTCATCATGCGACGTGGCTGCATCTAAACGGTCGTGGAACCTTCCTAAGTTCTTACCACCCCATGCTGACAAAACTTTGCATCAACCCTACTTTTTCAGGCATAACAGAAGTTCCCTAGTTTTTAAGGTTTAAGAATCGAACCTTGAGAACTTCACAATTATGCCTTGATTTGATATGTTCCGAACGACGCCTAATCGATCCAACCTGGCTACAAAGAGGTCGCAAGACACTTCCTTACGAGTGACCTGATATGGTCTTCTTCCGCAAGGTCAACGACCTGGGCCAGACCCTATTCAGTGCCGTATTGATGCGCCTTTTATCTTAACCAAGGTCCGCAACCTAGTTATACTTAGCATATTTTGCTGAAGGCAAGGAGTCACATCGGTCCACAACTGACATGCGATGAAGAGTGTTCTGCCCCAACGACCTCTTCAAATGTCATCTGTTGTGCTTGGTAACTAATCCATTAATGAAGTACCTTTTACTCTAACAAACATGTCTTATGCGCAATAAGTGTCAACCATGCGCATTAAATATAAGTGGATGAGAGCGTATTTAATGTGGAGGAGGGAAACGAGCCGTCGCTCGATTATTTCAATGGAGAGAAGCGACGATTGGATTTCTCAAAGCGTGATGGTTACTCATTCCCGCTGATTGATGACATGTGGTCGCGATCAACGACGAGAGATGATTTCCGTCCAAACGTCGTTTGGCTTTGGGAAAACCAATCGCCACTTCCTCCACTATAAAATCTCAGACTCACCTTAAGCAATGTCACAACACTCACTTTTTCAAAAAGAGCAAGAAGCTTTCGCGAG